CTCTCCATTGAGTCTTGTCATCCATTTCAGTAAAATCAGAAAATTCACCCCACCTCTAAAATTGAAATCCTAATCTCCCTTTCCCTGACTACAAATGCTGGATTGTCTTCATCCTTCCCCAAGTCTTCTTGCAACTGTTCCTCCCCTTCAACAAATCCTCTACTTCCCCTTCTTTCTTTCCAATATTTATCCCCCCTACCTTTCTTTTCTTTTTGGAACCTGCTGACACTGTTGAGCCCCTGTATCATCATTATTCATCAGTATCTTCCTCCAAAAACCATTCTTTTCTCCAGTCAGTTGGGCATCACAGAGAGGGGGAAAAAAACTAATTTGTCAAGTACTTGCTACTTGTCATGCCATTCTGAGCATTTTCTATGTATAATCTCATTTCATTCTTACTAACCATAAGGGAGAATTTTGCCCAGTAGGAAGTTGTGCCTGAGATTATTTAAATTTCCAGAGGCATGATATCAAATCAAAGATCCCATCAATTGTAGGCATTTCATTAGTTTTAAATGTAGAAGAAAATGCTGTAAATCTAATTACAAGGTACTATCTGTTGGCATATACATCCTGATTTCAGCTGCCACTAAATGTGCTAAAAGTACATCTGAGAATAATGAAATCTAGGTGTGAGATACGTAGTGCAAATGCAGGCAACTGGGATCCCATGTAATCATTACCATTATGCTATTGTGTCTCATAAAAAACACACACACACACATTCAAGCCTAGGGTATAGGTAGTAATGCTTGTTTCAATAAAACATCTCTATAAATAAAAAACATTCAGCATACAAAATGATACCTATTATAAATTCATGGTCCCAAACATTATCAAAGCTTTTAGTACTAATCTTTAGTCTTTGTTGTCTCTCCCCTCTTCCCGCTTCCTACTTTTTCTTCTTTGAAATAGTTATTCCAAAGTGTCTCTGTTCGCTTTAAGTTCCCTACTTAACATTTCAATGTCCTATACTTTTGCTGGATAACCATTTATCTTGCCTGAGAAAATGGAGATGACCAGTTGCTACTTCTCTCCCTATCCTGACTCACAGCTAGCCTTCCTTCTTTCCTCTGTGTCAGAGGGCAAGTTACGCCCTCCCTTAGATTCTGGCTCTTCCTTGTTCTCTTTTCACTACTGCTTGTCTCCTCTGAGATTATGATAGATCTTCCTTCTCTGATGTTCAATCCCTCCTTCTCCTGGGTTCTCTTCCTCAGAAATAAATAGAATCAAGACCCAATCCCTGACCTTGTGTTCTGTCAGAACTCTATGGGGAGAGTGCCTCACTTCTATTTCTGCCCTGACTTCCTCCTCCAATACTCCACTGACTCATTAAAAAAAAAATCCAATGGAAAGTCCATTCTCTTCATATCAGTAATATTCATTGCTTGGGGCTGGGAAGGTGGGTCAATGGTAGCGTGTTTGCATGAGGCCCTGTGTTCAATTCCTCAGCACCACATAAGCAGGAAAAAAAGCCAGAAATGGTGCTGAGGCTCAAGTGGTAGAATGCTAGCCTTGAGTTGAAGAGCTGAAGGACAGTGTCCAGGACCCACAACTGGCAATAAATAAATAAGTAAATGTAGATAGATAGATATAGATATCCTTTGCTGAAACTATGTGGTGCTGATTTCTGCCTATATGGTGACAGTCTCTATCTCATTGTCTTCCCAGGGTACCACACTCTTCTGATTTTAAAATCATTTCATGGTTGCCACTTCTTGAGTTCAATCCTTACCCACTTTCCATACTTATTCCTGGTTTAAATGATAAACCTACATATCAATAGAGTTTCAAGTCCAGGCTTTTGCCCTTATCCCTGTATCCCAAATATTTGTTCCACCTCTTCCCTGTCTTCATAATATCATCTCCACTTTGCATGTGACACACCTCACACTGAAAATGTCCAAAACCCAAATCCAATTTCTGTTTCTCAAACTTATTTCTCCACATGATTTTCCTTGCAGCTGTGGCTAATCTGGAACTTTGTTACTTGGCTCTCAATACTCGGTTTCTCTTCAATCGATCTCTTTCCCTTGTACCCCATATCCATCCATCAATGAAGAGCACAAGCATTTTCACAGGTTCTGCTGGTTCTCCCTTGCCAGTCTCCATGCCTCAGTCACACAATGTGTTACAACGCTCCATTTTCCCAAAAGGATGTGAGTGCCAGGAAGTTCAAGAAGCAGGACATCATCCTTATCTTTTCTCACATTCCTCTGGGGGTAAATAGAAGCAGGCATTAAACTGCCCATTTCAGAGATGGAGAAACTAAAGCACATTCCTGAAGTTTCCGAGGAATGAAACGCTTGGGGCCCCTCAGGACCCCTCTTCAGAGTTCCTTCTCCCTGTTGCTTGGGGAGGGGCTGGCTTTCTATGGCTTCAGTAAACCTCCCTGGAAAGCCCTTGCCCCTGTGGAAGGTAACCACGGATACTATAAACTGGCACAAAAACCTTCAGGTATGGAGACAAGAAGTTCTATTTAGGACTCTGAGGGGATTTTTAGGTGAAAGACAAAACCTAGATACATTTGGGGAGGGAAGATTTGTTTGTGCCTAAGGCCCCTTGGGTGGGGGTGTTTCAGTTAAGGTGGCAGCGAATGCTCAGCAGAGCCCAGGAGACAAGTTAGACCTGAATCTGACCCCCCCCCACACCCCCGGGGTAAGACGAAGTAACCCTGAGGTGAGAATCCTGGGAGCTTCCTCCTTTTGGCTCGCACCGTTGGGCAATCAGAAGCTAAATATTCATGAGAACGATGCCAACAACCCAGATGATGGCCAACAACCCAGACTGGCCCTGGTCAGGGAAACCTCCAGCAGTGGCAAATCTGAACCCCTGGTTGCTCTCTGTCCTTGTCAAGGCCTCATGGGGCACATGCACAATATCTCTGGAGTCACTTTCTATCCTTTGTGCGCTTTCTATCTGGGGACCGGAGGCAGCCTATGCTTTTTATCTCCATTCCCCAAATTTCAGGTCTTCCCTCCATGCCTTTATGCTCAGAAAGACACAGGGGTACGGGGACCTCCACTCTCCCCTACATGGGTATAGAACTGGGCCCCCACTTTTCAGTTCCCACCAACAGCACTCAGCTTCCTGAGGTAGGTTGGGGAATTCAGGGCGTACAAAGGCTCCCAGCCGCTGGGTGGAGGGTGGGCGGGGGTCAGGGTCGGGGAGGGTGGGTGTAGTTCAGCGGGGGGGGGGCGGGAAAGGAAGAGGAGGGCGTGGGAGATGGACTTGAAGTGGCGGCCGTTTCCAGGCGCTTTGACGTAGACTGGAAGGGGCGCGGAACACACCCCGGCGCTGCTTAAGAGGCAGGCAGAGAGGGTAGCGTCCGGGACGCGGAGCGGGGGCCGGGTCGCTCGCGAAGGGAGCGGGAAGATCGACAGGGCAGGGCAGGTGAGCGCGGAGAGGCATCCTTCTGCCGCCAGGGCGCGGAGCTGCGGAGTGAGGTGAGTGGGGCCGAAGACCGAGCGGGTCCCGGGGCAGCTCAGCCCTGGGCGAACGAAGCCCGCCACTTCGGGTGCTGGGGTAAGGCCCAGGTACAGTGAGGGACTCGTAAGAGGGCGCACCTAGCACCCCAGGGTTACAACTCTCTTAGCCGGGACAATCCTTTCCTAAAGCCACAGGCGTCTCCAGTAGGAGCTTTGTGTCCCGCGCCCTCGGGGCGTCCCCAACAACGCTCACTTCAGCACCCTGGACAGCGTCCCGCGCTGCGCCCTCTGAAAACGTGAACAGCTTCCATTCTCCCCCTCAAGGAAAAATCACCTCTGGTATTTTAGTGCACAAAAGAACACAACGAGCCTGTTTTTTCAAGTAGAGCTAATTTACAACTTATCTTAAGACAGAAGAAAAAGTGTTGAATTAATCTTGTCTCTCAAGCATGCTTCTTAGAAGGAGGGATGTTCATGTTCAAAGACAGTTTCTGGAGTGTTTATTCTGTTGCCGTGCAAAACAGAAAGATTCCATCCTATGGTGTTACATATTCGGATGAAGACTTCCTCCTGTCCCCCTCTCCCACCTTTGAGCCAACCTTTAATATCTAAAAGGGTTGGGAATACAAGATAAAGTTGTGTGAGCTGTGTGTGCCCTTTCTGTTTCTTCTTTATGTTGCAGTTGTTCAGAGGCTGTATACATTTGGTAAAGTTTGTGGGGAAAAAAATCAGATAAACTTTTTTTTCTGGGAAAAGAGGAAATTCAAGTTATCTTCAGCCATTGTTTCTCTTTGAGCTTCTGTTTGAAGTGGTGACAAAGGATCATTTAAAAGTGAGAAGTAGACACTTCTCACTGATGATTTTATTACAACAGGCAGTGAGCCCCCAGAACTGAACGAGAGGCAAATCATTAACTTTAAAGTCCTTGTGATTCAGAGAAAGGAGAGAAAGTATAAAAACAATTTCATTATAAAGTTTTATCAGAATTTCAGGATATTTCAGGTGTTGTACAATGCCTGTTGAATCTATTCTAGTGGATTGAATATGTTTTTCAGTTCTTAAATATGTTTACCTACACTTTTAACACCTCTTATGTTTATCATTATTATGTTTTAGAATTCTGTTGTCTTTAAACAACTTATAAGCCATTATGAATACAAAAGCATACAAAGATAAAACTTACATTTAAATTCTGAATTACACAGGAAATTTCCATTAGGATAGCTAGGCAAGACATTGTCAAATAATTAAAGATACATGTCAAGAGTTTACATTTTTGCTTCAACTGTATTCTTCTGCCACAGAGAAAAACATGTTCACTTATTTTATCTTGCAAAACAACACAGGTTAGGGATATTTCTTAGCCTATTTTGATTTTTACACTGCCTGGCCATAAGTCATTTTAGATAGAATGAGGCTTATGGTTTGGGATGCAGGACAAGGCTTTGTATTTAGTGACAGCGAGGTGCTTATTTTGCAAGGACGAAGGTTCTTAAGGAAAACTTGCTTTCTTTTACTACATGGGACATAAGCAGGGACTGATACATTTCCATCCCATGCAGTTCCAGAGCCATGGCTGATCCTGGGAACAGAAGAGGGATCCATCGCCCCTTGAGCCTCATCTGCTCCCTGCTCATTGTGGGAATGTGCTGTGTGTCTCCTTTCTTCTGTCACAGCCAGACAGATTTGCTTGCTCTGAACCAAGCAGATCCACAGTGCTGGGAGTCTTCCTCTGTTCTCCTGCTGGAAATGCGAAAGCCTCGCATTTCCAACTCTGTTTCAGGCTTCTGGGACTTTATGATCTACCTGAAGTCATCTGAGAACTTGAAGCATGGGGCACTGTTTTGGGATCTGGCCCAACTCTTCTGGGACATCTATGTGGACTGTGTTCTTTCCAGGAATCATGGCTTAGGAAGGAGGCAATTGGATGGAGAAGATGAGAAAATCTCCCGTGCACAATTACAACATACAGGGAGTAAGCAAGGTGACCCACCCTGCTCCTTTTTATCTTTTTAAAAGGGTGAATCAAGGATGAATGTGACAAAGTATCAGAAAAAGGGAAATGGACTTGAGGAATTTAGTGTCATGTAGATTCCTTGCAAAGAGTGAACCTCAAAAGTACACAAGTATCACATAGTACACACATAGATAACTTTACCATTTGAGACAGAGCTCTACTTTCAGCTTTTTGGTGGTTAAAGATAAAAGTCTCATAGACTTTCCTGCCTGGGCTGGCTTCAAATGGCATCCTCAGATCTCAGCCTCCTGAGTAGTTAGTATTACAGGCTTGTGCCATTGGCACCCAGCTAACTTTCCATTCTTATCATATTTAGCTGTTGAATGCAAAAAAATTATCAATTATTTTTTATTTAACATTATTACTGTTTACAGAATAACTGAAAATAGCATTATTTGTGTCTAGCTGTTCATGAGCGTAGTTGAGGTATGTTACACAGATAACATTTTTATAAATATGGAATATACATATATGACATAAAAATATAGAAAGTTTCAACTTTGGAAGTCATTTTCTTCATCGCATTACAGAGTTGCTACTGGCTCAGCTGGTCAGCAAACCTTAAGGAGACTTAGCAAGTAGTTAAGTATGAGGAGAACACATTTTACTTTTTCAAAGTTATTTTTATGCAGGCATAAGGAATTGTCTGAGCCTTAGGAAAGATTTGTTTTCCATTTGGTTGGTTAATCACAAAGAAGCTCTTGGGTCAAGAAGATACATGTCTACAACTTAAATAGTTATAAGAACATTGAGATGTCCTTTCAATAAACTTCATTATATCTGTAGTGGTTCAACTGGGATCTGGATGTACTTTCAGGAATCCTCCAGTAATTTTTCCTTTTATCACTGGGGATAATAAGCTATCAGGTGGAATGAAGGTGAAGGTGAAGAAGTGTTTGTTCTCCTAGTTCCCAGGAGTAATCATGTCATTTGGGAAGAAGGGAAAAGCTAAAGTAGGTGGGTACGTAATATGCAGAAAATGTTCTTGTTGTGTTGATGTCATTAAACATGTAACTCATGTAATTTTGTATGGATTATATCATATTTACTAATATTTCATCAACAAAATGTGAAAAAATAGGAATCAAAGAGCTATGAAACCTTGGGCAAATTAACCTAAGTATTTAGTTTTCAGTTTCTTCATTTGAACTTGAAGTATATAGAAAGAACTTGATGACCAACAAAGTCTTTTCATGTACAGTGAATGTTCTGTAATTCTATAAAAAAAAACAAAATGTTAGAAAGAACTTACAGAACTCTGAAAAAAAATCTGGAACACCTTTATCCTATGAACCACTGACCAAGCTAGATGGTGACCAGGACATTGTGGGTTTATGACAATGTTCAGCAGGAACATTGTAGGTCTAGAAATGAGAACTCCAAAAACACTGAAGGACAGCGATATTACAAGAAAAGACTCTAAAAATGACTAGACAGATATTGCTAATGGTTGAAAGCTGAAATATCTAAAGGAAGGTATTAAGAGGGGAGACACATCCCAGCTTAACTGCTAATTGACTTTAGGGAAGAGAGAGGAATAGAGGGCAGGAGAGAAAGGAGGAGAGAGGGGAAGAGGGAGAGAAAGATAATGAGAGAAAGAGGGAGAAAAAGAGAGAGAGGGAGAAGAAAGAGAGGGCAGGGGAAAAGGTAGGGGAATAGTATTAGGTCAAGAGTACACAACACAGATAACACTAAAAAGGAATAGAGTCTAAGTTAATGCACAAAGGTTCCCATGCAAAGAAAGAAAATGGTGGCTCATGCCTGCAATTCTAGCTACTCAGGAGGCTGAGATTTGAGGATCATGGTTAAAGCCAGCCCAAGCAGGAAAGTCCATGAAACTCTTATCTCCAATTAACCACCAGAAAAACAAAAACAAAAACAAAAACAAGTGGTGCTGAGGCGCAAAGTGCAAAACAGTAGCCTTGAGCAAAAGAGCTCAGGGACAATGGCCAGGCCCTGAGTTCAAGTCTCACTACTGACTAAAAAGGAGGCGGGGAGAAAGTGTGTGTGTGTGCGACAGAGAGAGAGAGAGAGAGAGAGAGAGAGAGAGAGAGAGAGAGAGAGAGAGAGAGTTTAAGGTATAACCCTGTTTGTGTCTAAAAAATACCTTCTTCCTTCAGCAAAACTTGGTCTACCACTTGAAAGAGCATACACATCTCCCTTCCTGAGATTGTTTATATATTCTAGAAAAATTGAGAGTCTTTTTCTCTGTGATGAGGAAATTAAAATTTAAATGTATAATTCAATAATGTTTCCAGGTGGTACTCAGCTGACAAATGGTCATAATGATTATTTTTCAAACACACACAAGAGGAAAAATATACTTCAGAAATATAGAATCATAAATGCTCAACTTTCAACTTTACTCATTGTAAGAAATTTCTTAGCCAGACGCCAGTGGCTCATGCCTGTAATCCTAGCTATATAGGAGGCTGAGATCTGAGGATCATGGTTCAAAGCCAGCCCAGGCAGGAAAGTCCATGAGACTCTTATCTCCAATAAAGCACTAGAAAACCGGAAGTGGTGCTGTGGCTCAAGCAGTAGAGCACTTGCCTTGAGCTGAAGAGTCAGTGACAGCGCCTAAGCCCAGAGTTCAAGCCCTACGACCGACCAATAAAACAAATTTCTTATGTAACATACTCCATTTCATCTAGAAACAACATTCACATGATGAATGTTCAGTGATGAAGAACAGGCTCTTCACTGCAGTACTATTTATAGTAACAGAAAATTGAGAAATGATCAGAATATGCCCCACTAAGATAATTGTGGCATGAAGTATGTTTAGAAAGCAAGTCAATCTCTGGAAGCTTACATTACAGATGGCATAAAGTGCTTTCTTTGTGTGTGTGTATTAAAAATTATGGTCTGTTTATAGCCAAATATTTTCATGCACATTAACTGATAAGGGAATATATTTATAATTATTTATTAAACTTAGACCACATGACTAATTGTACAGAGCACCAAATTTTCTCTAACTATATGAATAAATGTGTTTACACAAATATATTAAAATAAATATACATTTGTAATAAATTTATATATAAATCAACTTTGAAGTTAATACACACATTTATAAATAAATAAATGGAATATACATTTATAATAAATTTATAGATAAATAAATAAACCCTGCAATAAATGTTTTAGCATTTTTGAGAGTAGGTAGGCCGAAATACAAATTTTTATTTTTTTAAATCAATATATGGATTTTCAAGTATTCTCCAGTAATTTGTTGACCTTATGAAGTTTATTTTCTCTGTTTTCAGGTGTATATTCTCAGCTTCTAAGAACCCCTTTCCTAAAGAAGAAAGAGTTGATTGAAGATTTGATAAGCAGGCATGTGCACAGGAGTGGGCCTAGGTTTGTTGGAAAATTGAGCCTGGATATAAAGCGAAAGTAAATCTAACTTCAAAGCCAACACAGTTCTTGAAATTGAAAAATACACATTTTTTGATTATTTTTTAAAATTTTAAATGGTGAAAATTTCCAGAAGTTAGTACCATGCCAAATTCTCTACCAGAACTTCTTTAAAGCTTCTTTAAAGCTTCATTCTTTTAGGTTATTAGCATGTTCTTTCAGATGGTGACTACTGCCAGGCCATCCCACTAAAAGAATTAACTTCCAAGTAGATTTGGGGATTGGGAGCTTCTGCCTCTTCATAGTTGATGGATTACATTTTGGAGATACTTGGCATTATTAATGAAACGGAGTGTCATACTTTCTACTTGAATACGCTGCATGAATTCTAAGTCAATAATGACTGAATTGTTTATGCACTAGCATATAAAGGACTACATAGATTAATGAACAGTTACCAATGTTGGAGATACTAAATCTTGTTTGAGAGAATAGTTTTGAATATTGAATGAAGCAAAAAGTTAAAAAAAAAACCTGAGATATACAGCAATCTTCTAATACAAATAAATCAATAAAAAAAGCTTTGGAGCCCAAGTAATGTTATTGGAGTTTCTTTATTACAACACTTCATGTTTAATGATAGCCAAATTCTAATAAAATAGCATAGGTATAAATTATCTTCCAGTTGTATGTTTCTTGTTTGATTAAAAATTAAACCTATAGGTTGTTATATTCCACACTACAAAGCAAAATAAAATGAAAATGAACATCATGGTAAGAAAAGAAACTATAAATAAATGACCAACCCTGAATGAGGTTCATAGCAGTGAAGTTCAATTAGCAAATTTCCTTGAGTTCTAGACCTCATGCTATTTTTCTCTCTAATTATTCCCATGTCTCCAATAGTTTTATTATGACCAATGATTGATAACAAGTTTAAATTTGAAATATGTTAGAAATTCTCTTGCTTTTTCTAGACCCAAAGTAAAAGGTTTGGAGGCCTCCAGAAGCCAGAAATATTATCTAAATAATATCACTTGAAAGGAATATTATCATAAGGTTATTGTCTCTGAAGATTAGTCCCACTCCTAGCCATCGGGGAAGGGAGCCTAGAGAAAGATCAAGAGGAGGGAAGGAAGTCTAGCCTGAAATTATGATTGATCATGAAAAGTGAGGGTATTAAAAGTCTGTCACCCTGATATGTACACAATGGAATTTTACTCATCAATCAGGAAGAATGATACTATGTCCTTTGCAGAAAATTGGATGGACCTGGAAGAAATCATGTTAAGTGAAGTCAGACCCAGATAGACATATGTGGAACTTAGGTCTAATTTATAAATCATTCAACCAATCAACATATATATATAAACATAAACATAGTCATATGTATATACACATACAGATGTGTTAACTAAAATATGGTATATACAGGGAAGAATTTCAATAATGTAACTTCTTTGAATAACTAACTTATGATCTAAGAAAATGAATACCAGGAAACTGGATCTTGAGGTCTGCATGTGGAGAGTAAAGTTCAAGGGAGAGGGTAGATGAATGAAGAGAAGACCGGTAGGAGAATGTAGACATATATTCAATGTATATATGTGACAATGGAGCTAGGAAACTTGCACAGGAGTTGGGAGAGATGGGATAGAATGATGAAAGAGGTGACATTGATCAATGTGCACTGTCTTCATAAACTGACATTGAAATGAAAACCCCTCCTTCAACTACTTGAAGATTCAAAAAGACATGTGCCACCCTTGGCTGTCTTTCTAAATAGGTTCATGAGTTTGCATTCTTCCTGTTTTCTCTAGTGTTCTTCCTCATATACTCCATGACACTCTAATAAATTTATTACCTTTTATAAATCATTGATAAGACACTACTCTTGAAGAATGGACCCTGCTTTGCTTCTCCCCTCCCCTGGGAGTAAGTAATATTTTTCTGTATTATTATTGATTTTATGGGTCATTTTGTCTCTGTTGGAACTAATCAAGTCTGTCTTGATAAAACAAAAAAGCTACAATAATAGGTACATTAAAGCTTTGTTTATAGATACTGAAATTTGACATACAAAATTTCTATGTGTCACAAAATGTCCTTCTTTTGTCCTTATCCATTTTAAGCTCGTGGCTTGTACAAAACCAGTAGTGGTCAAGAGTTGGTCCATGAGCTGATGTATGCTCTAGGATGTGGCTATCAGTCCCCAGAAACACTCTGGGAAACAGTAAGAAGAAAAGAAAATATGTTCAACACGTAAACCAAAACACAACATTTATAATATGCCAAAAAGAAAAACTTTAAATGCTGGAGTGGAATTTAATAAGAAAACCTAATACTAATCCTATATAAAAAGATATCATTTACTCTTCAAACTATGATAGATTATATAGATAAAATCTATAGTAACATCACATACACAGCACCACCTAATCCAATATATGAAGAAAGGACATTTTTGAGATACTTATTAATTTGTAGAGCATTGTAAAGAATGATAGAGACAAATACATACCCTTTATCTATTTTCCCCCCTATGGGAACACCATGTATAGCTATAGTACAATATCACAACCAGAAGACTGGCACTGCTGCCATCCAGAGTTTGTTCAGATTTTACAAGTTTTACATGCACTCCTAAATGTCTGTCTGTTTGTGGGTTTAGTTTGTTTGTTTGTTTTTTCAATCAAGCCTATCCTTCAGCAGCAGTCAAATAGAAAAAATTTAGGCCATCGATTCCAATTTAAGTAATACTTGAAGCAGACTTGCCTCTGACATGTAGATCACACACTTGAATGTTATTGTCAAATCTCCACAGTTAGAATAGCCCTCGGATGAAATCGCAGCACAGCTGGATTTGAGCCTGCTGCTGTGTCTTCTTTCCCCTATCCTACTCCTCACACACAAAACTTTTTTTCTGAACAAAAGAACAAAGAGAACTAAGACATATGAGTAAGGAAATTAAAAAATACAACTTCATACTTCAAACCAGCTATTCAGAGAGAGAGAGAGAGAGAGAGAGAGAGAGAGAGAGAGGTAGAAGACAATTATTTTAATTCAGATTTTAAATATGCATTTTGTTATCACTCCCAAGGGCCTATGAGTCTGGACTCCTTTTCACTTCAAGTTGGGCAAGGTGATTAGATCCACAAAGGCAGAGAAGGCCCTACACAGCCGCTCAGCTCCACTGTACAGGTCCGTGTTCACCGAGGACTGTGGTCCTGGAATCAACCAACAGACGATACTTCAGGAAAATACAACTGGAACTTCTCAATGGAACTTGCTGAAGCTTTTGCGCAGAGGCCAGCATCTAACCTTCCTCAATTCCTGAGGACCATACTTTTTCCCTAAGTTAGATGGTAAATTAAATGGTTCATATTTATCATTATCAATCCCATGAATCCAGCCAGATTGTGAGATCTTAAAGTGTATTTTCCCATTGCTTGTAGCACAAGTCTAGGGGATAGAAGCCCTACTCTATAGTGGTATCTTACATGTTCTGATGTGTCTCAGAAGCATCTGGAGAGTTCAAACAGATTGCTATCCTCATCCTAGTTAGGATTCAGTCCATGTGGGACAAGCCTGAGAATTGTAGCTGTAATAAGATCTCAGGTGATACTGATTAAGCTGGTCCAGAAACACAACTCCACAGCTACATTATGAACTATTTGTGTGATCTCTTGTGATGTTATAATAGCTATTGTTATAGGAAGAGAAGAATTTGGCAGCGATCAGTTCTGTTTCCATATAGCACAAAAGCCTTTGTGAGATAGACTACAAATTAGAAACAAGTTAATTATATATCGTAAAGTAAATGATAGTCCATGCATACCCAGAGATATTCTGAAGCATGTTAAAAATGGCATTGCTCCATGTCAAAGACATTGAAGCAGTGAAAACAGCAAAAGTATAGTGGGATCTAGCTTACACTGAAAAAGGAAAGACGTACATATATGCAAATAAAAACATGAGAGGAAAATTCTGACAGAGGGAATGGAGAACATGGCAGTGAGTTTGTTTTCAGAAAAACTACATTTCAGAATTTTAATTTATTATAAACATGTAGTATTCTGTTAGTTGTGTAGTTGATAAAAAATAGATCATAGGGAATGAACATATGGAAAGGATCATTATGTTAGTTACATAGCTTTTGGCTAGATGACTTGCATTGTGGCTCCTTGTGTACTATTTTTGGATGGCTATGAGAGGTGGTGATGCATCTTGAGTCCATGCATTCTCTGACACTGCTTTAGTGCCGTGGAGACCTTGAATAAGTCATTCTCGATAGCCTGAATAAAAACCTTTGTGCTTGTGCAAATTTATTTTAAGATAGTGTTCTTAGCCATGCACCATGTGGCTCATGCCTGTAATACTAGTTACCCAGAAAACTGAGATCTGAGGATTGTGGTTCAAAACCAGCTCAGGCAAAACGGTCCCTGGGAGATTCTTATCACCAATTAACCACTCAAAAACCAGAAGTGGCACTGTGGCTCAAGTGGTAGAGCGCTAGCCTTGAGCACAAAGAGGTTCAGGGACAGTGTCCTTGCCCTTGCCCTGAGCTCAAACCCTACAACTGACCAAAAAAAAAAAAAAAGAGCCGGGTGCTGGTGGCTCACACTTGTAATCCTAGCTATTCAGGAGGCTGAGATCTGAGGATCACAGTTCAAAGCCGGCCCAGGCAGAAAAGCCCCACGACCGACAAAAGAGAGAGAGAGAGAGAGAGAGAGAGAGCGAGAGAGAGAGAGAGAGAGAGAGAGCGTGTGTGTTCTCAGCCTCTAGTGATTGAAAAATAAAGAAATAAGAAAGCAGTGGGACATTGTGGCTTGCACCTAAAATGCCAATGTTCAGGAGGCAGAGGCAGGAGGATCATAAACTAGAGGCCATTGTGAGATACTTAAAGAGACTCTGCCTCAAAAGAGAAAAAGAAAGAAATAGGAAAGCAATAATCCATTTAATCCATAAGAGTTTTTCTTGTTTGGTAATTTTTTTTATGTTCTAGTAGTACCTTGAAATGTTTTTTTTAAGTCAGTGAAGATGTAGCTCATGATGGAGTGTGTCAGTTCAAATTATTTGGGATCTGTTGGGCTTTTGTGATTTCAATTTCATTTTCTTCCCTATATTTGATGGTTGGGAGTCATTATTTCTTTGAGCAAGCTTTTTAATCACGTTTCTCTTCCTTCTGCACCTAGAACTTTCATTATATATATATGCATATATTTCACATATATATTATATAGGTATATATAAATTTTTCCTTGATGGTATGCCATGAATCTTAAGCATTCATCACTTTCCCCCTTTCTTTTCTTATGCTGGATAGTTTCAATTGCATTCTTTCTGTCTCTTTGAGCTTTCTGGCTCTTTTCTGCTTGATCCTAGAATGTTCCACTGCACAAAGAGTAATGAAAGATGATGAAGAAGGGAAACTTGATACAGAGGAGTAAGATAGTACCACAATTAGACTAAAATAGAGATAGATGACTTATCTGAAAGAAAATCTATTGTTAAAATGCTCAGTGAGCTCAGGAGAACAGTGCTGTTTTCTGTTGAACCCTTCTATGGAAATGTTCACTTCAGCAATTGTGTATAATTTTTCAGGTCCAAAATTTCTTTTCTTTTCTTTTCTTTTTGGCAGTCATGGGGCCTGAACTCTGGGCCTGGGCGCTGTCCCTCAGCTCTTCAGCTCAAGGCTAGCACTCTACTACTTGAGCCACAGCACCACTTCCAGCTTTTTTTTCTGCTTATGTGGTGCTGAGGGAATTGAACCCAGGGCCTCTTGCATTCAAGGCAAGCACTCTACCACTGAGCCACCTCCTCAGCCCTCTATTTGTTTTTTATTCAAACATTTCTATCAATGTTGAAATTCTTGATTTCTTTATGTATCGTGTGATTGCTCTTCTCTAGGTGACTATATTAATACTAAGTAAAGCTCAGTGTTTTGTAAATAATAGATATTTCTAATTTTTCCCCAATATTTCTCCAAAAATATAAATGCTAAGAAAGCTGCAACACTAAAGCAATCAGAAACTTCTGCTGTCTGGTGCTCCCAGGATAAACAGAGAAGAAAATAAATAACCGTGGGGAAAAAAACCCTTCATTTACCTTGTTTCACTTTCCATCTCTGTGTCAGCGTGGCCATCACATAGATTATGCATAAATTCTGGAGTATATTTTATAACACATTACCACTGATTAAGTGGAGTTTGAAAACAGGATCACATTTAATACAAGACTGAATAAGGACCCAAGTTTAACTGAAAATATTTGAATGAATAATAATATAGGCCAGGTAAACACTAATCATAGAGACCTTCAGGCTTACGCGTCAAGGCTTCAAAAAAAATAAGCCTAATGTAAAAAAGGAAGACTATAGCTTTCCAGCTTAAAAATAAACATCTGGCCAGGTGCCCGTGGCTCACGACTGTAATCCTAGATACTCAGGAAGCTGAGATCTGAGGATCATGGTTCAAAGCCAGCCTGGGCAGGAAAATTTGTGAGTCTCTTTTCTCCAACTAACCACCAGAAAACTGGAAGTGGTACTGTGGCTCAAGTGGTAAAGCACTAGCCTTGAAGAGTTCAGGGACAGCACCCAGGCCCAGAGGTTCAAGCCCCATGGCTGACCAAAAAAAAAATTGTTGAATTATAAGCACATTTGTATAATAACTTGTACTTACTAAAGAAGCATCTCAAAGGTTCCGTTGAGATGATATGTGAAAATAGTGGTGACTATTTTGAGATATATACTTTTTATATTTATATTTTATTTTATTTTTTATTTTTATTTTTTGGATCCGGTCATGGGGCCTGAACTCTGGGCTTGGGTATTGTCCCTCAGCTCTTCAGCTCAAGGCTAGCACTCTACCACTTGAGCTACAGCACCACTTCCAGCTTTTTTCTTTCTTTCTTTACTTTTTTTTTTTTTTTTTGCTTATGTGGTGCTGAGGAATCTAACTCAGGGCCTCAGGCTTGCAAGGCAAGCACTCTACCACTGAGCCCCCTTCCAAGCCCTACTTTTAATATTTTTAAAAGACTAGATATTACCAATCATGTATTTACACATTCTCATATCATCTGGATTTAGAAATACCTTTTCCTTTCTTTGGTGATTTTCCTTTTAATAATCCAACGATGCATGTATATACCCATATAGATGTATTTTTATACAAAGATCTCACTAAAGTCACTGAAAATATTCATCAGTCTTTCCCCTTTAGGTATGAAAGGTTCAGGCATTGCTTTCCCAATGTGACGTAAGTGAGTAGTAGACTTTGCCAATGATGACTGTTTTTTTTTTTTTTTTTAAAGCACATTCTAACCACTGCACTTCTGAGAGCTAACCTACCACAACAGTTCGGAAATTAGCCATGTTCATCGGCTCCTCAGAAAAACAACCCGAAACATCAACACAAGATGAAGATGTCAAGGACTAAAATCTTTCCTATAAAATCCAATTTTTATGTGAATTTTATATTAACTTTTCTTAAAAAGGTCAAGTGAACATTGACTTTGCCTTGGAGACTCATTATGGCCCCAAGGATGTTCAGCTGGAAATACAAAGCCTGGAATTCTATGTCGACTTAAGAATCTGGCACAAGGAGTTCCCCATCCTGTCTTTGTCGTAGACTGTTTGAGCATGCTTCCAGGATCTGTGTGAACTCATTTCCTCTAATGAGAAGACTATAACTCCATAACTATAGAGCTTCATTCAGAATAAAACTGACATTAGTACATGATGATGTCTAGGTCTCCAACGATCATGGCTGAATTTTGTCCCCTCCATCCTCAAATTTATATAATGAAGTCTTAACCCTAGTGGTGCTACATTCAGTGATTAAGTGAAAATGAGGTCACTAGAATGGGCTCTATTCTAATATAGCTGGTGTGTTGATAAAAAAGGAACTTTCAACATAAACATACAGAAAGAAGACTGTATAAAGACATAGGTGGAAGAAGGCAAGTGATAACCCCAAAAAGAGAGAGGTCTCAGAGGACACTGATGCTCTGACACCTTGGTCTTAGACTTCCAATCTCTGGGCAGTGAAAAAACAGCTCTTCCTTTCCTCGTCTCCCTCCTTCCCTACCTTCCCTCCCTCCCTCCCTCCCTTCCTTTCCCTCCCTCCCTCCCTCCCTCCCTCCCTCCCTCCCTCCCTTCGTTCCTTCGTTCGTTCCTTCCTTCCTTTTGTGTAAGTCACTTAGACTGTTGTGAAAATAGTCTCCAGTATTATGGTAGTGCTATAAAATGAATATACCAACTCCTAAATATTTTGAGAAGGCTCCCTCTAATGTAGAAACATGAGAATATAATCCTCGATTTTATCCCATCTTTAGGCAAATCAAAGTTTGTAACATAAATGATCATATGTATATACACTGCATGTATATATGTATATGTATACATTAATATGCACATGCATATATATTGGAGAGAAATAGGGCAATGTTATTTCAAAACAGAGGATATTGCTATAGCAATTGTTTCAAAAGGCCTTCTGACATCAGCAGTGAATCATGGCTTATGAAGAAGGTGATACTGATATGCTACTTACAATATAAAATACCTCAATCCCTTCTCCTTTACAAAGAGAGCATCATCGTTAATCCTGATTTTAAATGGTGATATTGGGCTGCCTAATTATATGTTATTTATTGACTACTGATAACAATAATCTCAACAACAAAACAATATTTGTGTCATGTTTACCATGTATCAGGCATCAGAGATGCTGTGGATGCACAAAAAATCCAGAATTCTGTTACACATTAGATAAATCACAACCATTGGAATAGTTAGTACTGTGGAACCAAGTGTTTTAAAAGCTTCTCTACTCCTTGGCCGTCACTATCATCTCTGAATGTGAAAATCTTACCTGATGTTGTTTCTGGATTGAAGGCATCCAGGAGCTTTGACAATAGGTCTTGTAGTTCCTCTCCCTCTTGCTCATTATCTCTCTCTTGGATGCTAACTATCTCTTTTCTTTCTGCAAGTGCCAGAGAACCTCCCATTTCAGCAGGAGAAATTTTCAGCCTTTCCTTCTGATGACTGGATAGAAAGCTCGGGATTTCCTTTGGCATCTTTTGTGACTGGCTCTGTGCTGTGGTGCTTTGCAAAGTGTTAGCTGGAGGTTCTGTATTTTCCTGAGCAAACTCTGCATTTGCTTGACTTCTCTGCCTTCTGTCAATCACAGCAGAGTTAGGAATAGGTTCCCATTTTGGACTGCCTTCAGAGGCATTCTTAATCTGAGAAGATTCTCCTCCCTTCCAAGTCCTGTTAGATGAAGAACTCTTGGCTTCACACATGATGTTTTGACAGGAGGATGAGGGATGAAGTAGTGGTAACACTGCCTGAGCAAAGAAAATCTTGTTTAAGAAAAAATATTTATTTTATTTGTTTCATAAACATATTAAATTCCAAGATTCCAGGAGATGCTAATGCCACATATTTCTTTTTTCTCTATAAATATTTTACTTGGTACTTTTACTTCAGGAGTAAGCTTAAACTCTCTCTAAGATTTGGGATAATTCAGGTTGTAACTCAAGGGAGAATCACAAAAAGTTGGAAAAAAATTGAGTTCTCCCAAAGCCTACATTCTACAAGGGTCATCAGGAAGTTCTGAAAGCATAGGTTGCATTCGAAATTAAAAATTATTGTAATAAACTCCCAGTGATCTGTCTAGTGGGCATGGTGAGGCAGGGTTCACAAGTCAGAGGCATAAATAAAAATCTAGGGTTATTCTCCATATTAAAGTGTGGTCCACAGACTTTGGAATCCCTCAGGCCTTTTTGATGTCTGTGAAGTTACTCTCCTAATCATCCGAGGGTGTCGTTTGGCTGATTGTTGCACTTACGTATACACTTCTGGTACAAAATCAACAGTAAGTATAGCAGTTTGCACCTGAATAGAAATCCAGACAGCACCAACACACACTGAGCAACAAGAGGCTTTGTCATCATATAACAGTTAAAAAACCCCAGATATCTTACTAATAAGATTGGGAAGATTACAGTTCAAGACCAGCCTGGGCAACAATAATGTAGACCCCCATCTCTGCCATCTCTACTACTGGGCCTGGTGCACATTCCAGCTATGAAAGAAAGCATAAACAGAAACATTGTGGTCTGGCAGCTTGAGCAGAAATGTAAAACCTTATTGGAAAGGTAACTAAAAGCAAAAGAGGGCTGTAGATGGGGCTCAAATGGAATAGTGCCTGCCTAGCAAGCATAAGGTATTGAGTTCAAAACCCCAACACTGTTTCAAAATAATATTGTGTGTGGTGAAACAGGAAGTGTGCATGAAACACTTCAGATACATACTGCGCTGCAATCTACACAGCCTTTTTGTGCCACAAAACAGTGTGTAGTCTATAACTATTCAGAGTTGGGTATTTGGCAAGTTTTTTCTGAAAAAAATCTAATGAGAATGAGAATATCACTGCAAAGAAAACAATGAAGTATAGTTATTGTCTATTCTGACATTTAAAGTTTGAAGCAGAAATTAGAATGTTAGAAAACTTGCATGTAGGGGCTGGGAAGGTGGCTCAGTGGTAGAGTGCTTGCCTTGCATGCATGAGGCCCTGGGTTCAATTCCTCAGCACCACATAAACAGAAAAGGCCACAAGTGGCTCTGTGGCTCAAGTAGAGCGCTAGCCTTGAGCTGAAGAGCTGAGGGACAGTGTCCAGGCTCAGAGTTCAGGCCCCATGACTGGCAAAATAAATAAAATAAAAAACATAAATAAAAATAAAAAATAATGGCAAATATTTCGGGGCTGGGAAAGTGGCTCAGTGGTAGAGTGCTTGCCTTGCATGCATGAGGCCCTGGGTTCAATTCCTCAGCACCACATAAGCAAAAAGAAAAAAGCCGGAAGTGGCGCTGTGGCTCAAGTGGTAGGGTGCTAGCCTTGAGCTGAAGAGCTGAGGGACAGTGCCCAGGCCCAGAGTTCAGGCCCCATGACCGGCCCCCCCCCCCAAAAAAAGAAAACTTGCATGTATGACCCTAAGCTTGATAACTTTCCAATTCTTTTTGTTTTGTTTTGTTTTTGTCTTTTGTGGGGCCTGAACTCTAGGCCTAGGTGCTGTCCCTCAACTCTTCAGCTAAAGGCTAGCATTCTACCAATTGAGCTACAACACCACTTCTGGCTTTTTCTGCTTATGTGGTGCTGAGGAATTGAACCCAGGGCCTCATGCATGCAAGGCAAGCACTCTATCACTGAGCCACCTTTCCAGCCCCACTTTCCAATTCTTAAGTATTTCTGAAGAAATGAGTAGAAACACTGATGAATGAGTTTTTTCAAAATAAAATGAGTGAGCCTTAGGATATTCAGTTTAGCTCAACAAGACTGATAAATGTAACAAAATGAATCCTGGTTAGATCCATTCAAGTGTACTAGACATTGGATTTTAATGAAACATACAATTTCAGACCCCCACAATGCAGCTCTCCTTTAAGAGAATATTATTTTTAAAGTATTTTAGTAGAGTATTAAATAAAAGTGTCCCGAGTGATGTGTGGTAGCTCATGCCTTTATCCTAGGTGCTCAGGAAGTAGATATCAGGATTGTGGCTTGGGAGCTACTCTGGGCAAAAAAGTTAACAAGGCCCTTTCTCCACCAGCAAGCTGGACATATGGAACATGCCTATGGTGCCTGCAACAGAGGGTGTTGGTAGTAAGAGGATGAAGATCCAAGGTTAGTGTAAGGTCCACCCTGGGAAGGTGAGACAGACTCCTCCCCCATCTTGGTTAAGTGCCCACCCAGTACCTATGTCACCTAGGTAACTGGCACACCTGCAGTCACTGCCCCTCCTCCAAGGTCACATCCAGGGCTGCCCGGGTCATGACTCCCATTGGACTATGGGAGGGTCCCAGGCTCTGAGATCACATCGCATCTAGTGTTACCACACCTTCCCTCACCTCCCTGCCCTTTCCCTAGTGAAGGCCAGGCATGGCCCTTTGGCCATGTGCTCTCTATCATGCATGGCAAGGCAGCAGTCTGGTAAATAAACTTCTTTTCCTGCCTGAGTACCATGCTGTGTTCTCTTCATCAGCGACCTACTTTAACTTACCTTACAATTAGCTCAAGACAAAAAGCATAAGATGCTATCTGAAAAATAACTGGATCAAAAAAGGGATGGGAATATAATTCAAGTGTTAGAGAACCTGCTTAGCAAATGTGGAGCCCTGAGATTGAATTCTAAACCACAGGTATAATATTAGGATAATATTAGGAAAATCTTCCTGTTTTTTAAACTGCAAATCTATATGAAGTCAAATTCCTTCACATGCTTCTATCAACACATCTTGCAACAGACTGATTTCTAGAACAGTTTTTGAAAAATTCGGTTCTTTCTTTAAGCCAAGCATTAAAAAGATTTGTAAAAGTAAAATAATACCAATGAAATCTGGATCCTTGTACCTACTAGGTGGTAAGGTAACACTGAAATACATCCTCAGTCTTTGTGATTTTTCTATGTTTGTTTGGTTTGATTTTTTGAGACAAGGTCTCACCATGTAGTTTCCTAAGTGCTGGAAATATAGGCATGTGCTACCATGCCCAGCTTTTCTATATATTTACTGTTTTAAAATATTTCATGGAGTGGTTGCCAGTGGCTCATAACTATAATCCTAGTAATTCTCAGGAGGCTGAGATCTGAGAATCATGGCTTGAAGCCAGCTGAGACTCCCACCTCCAGTTAACCCTCAAAAAAAAAAGCCAGAAGTGGAGCTGTGTCTCAAGTGGTAGAGCACTAGCCTTGAGCACAAAACCTCAGGGACAGCACCCAGGTTCTGAGTTCAAGCCACAGGACCAGCATAAAAAAAATTACATGCATAATGTTTATTACCTTTTATATTCCAATTAAGTAAAGAATATGTTTTAAAGTCACTTCTGTTTTAATTTTCATTGTGATAAATAGCAATGTATATAAGCCACTAAAACTAATGTTCTTTGGGTGGGGAGGGGTCTTCATTTTTTTTTTTTTGGTCAGTCACTGGGCCCGAACTCTGGGCCTGGGAGCTCAGCTCTTCCGCTCAAGGCTAGCACTCTACCACTTGCGCCACAGCACCACTTCCTGCATTTTCTGCTTATGTGGTGCTGAGGAATTAAATCCAGGGCCTCATGAATGCAAGGCAAGCACTCTACCACTGAGCTACCTTCCCAGTCTGGTCCTCAACATTTTTAAAGAATGAACAAAGAATCTTGAAACTGGAAGATTTAAGAATCCGTGCTGTGCAAAACTGCTTTGACTACGTCTGCTGTTTGTAAAGGGTCTCTGTCTGTTGTCTTGCAATGGTGCATCCTTCCAGAATCGGACGCATGCGTACTGGAGGATGGATGTTAGAGACGAGGGTAAGGGACGCGATGGATCAAAGTGGGAGATGAAGCTTTGGGCTTCAGCCCAACCTTATCTGGAGAACTCAAAGTTAGACTTCTAGGCGGTCCAGGTGGCCAGCCTTTCCCACGTTTTATACCTGTAGTTCCTGCTCCATCTGCTGAAGCGTGGTCCTTAGACTGTCTTGGTTGGCTTTGAGTTCATGAATCTTTGTTTCAAATCTGCATCTTCTTTCTTCCTGTAAGGTGTATATTGCTCGCAACTTGTCTTTGTACCGCTTCAACTGTTTTTTAAGGATCCTGGAAAAGAAACCAGGCTTGAGTGGTTCAGAAGTGCAAGAGACCAGCAAGAGTCAAACTTCAGTAAATAGAAGAAGCGAAATAAAATCTTTGTAGAAACTTGTCTATGAAAGCTGAGAAAGTTGCTGTTCGTTTCTGCTGTCAATGCTGTTGCAGGTACATGTCTGTTCCTACCTTCTTTCCCTTTGGAGAGCATGAATGGATCCCCCAGTCCTCCACAGTTCACTCTTAATAGGGACTATGCTCTAGAGAAGCAAGAAATAGAAATGAGACCTCCATCGCCAATAATCCATCATGAGAGCATGATCCTGATGTTTTCCATAGAATACAGTGTACTTCAAAAATAGCTGTGTGCATAGATAAGGAATCACAAAGAGATGAAATTGAACTAGCTCCAGACTTAGCACAATTTCTTGCTGGTTGGTGTCCTTTGCAGCCCCTTTGAGTGACCAGGACCTCTCTGTCACTTCACTTAAATATTGCATATCCAAACAACTTTCACATGCATACTATGCTTTTTGATTCAGTGACCTTTATTAAGAGTCTGTAAGTTTTCACATCAGTATTATCATATGGTATATTTGCAATTAAGAAGCATTTAGAGGACTGAGAAAGTGGCTTAATGGTAGAGTGCTTGCTTTGAATGCATGAGGACCTGGGTTTGATTCCTCAGCACCACAAAAGCAGAAAAAGCAGGAAGTAGTGCTGTGGCTCAAGTGGTAGAGTGCGAAAGAAAGAAAGAAAGAAAGAAAGAAAGGAAGGAAGGAATGAAGGAAGGAAGAAAGGAAAGGAAGAAAAGGAAAGAAGCATTTGGATTTGTGTCTGTTAACCTACAATAATATATATCCATAGGGTAGGAGACATGGTTTACTGGATTATTCACCACTAAAGAAGATCAAGCTATTTTCAATTTCTCAAAATTAAAAAGCAAGGAGGTAGCAAATAAAACTGTGAAAGTTTCCTTGTGAGCACAAATTAAATAGGAGATCCCTAGGGAGAAAAGGGTTTTCTTCAGTCAAATTTAAAACATGAAAATTTTAAATACATGGATAAGCTAAACTGGTGGATCAGTAAAGGTAGGCAGTGGGTATAAAACAACAACAAGAAAATACAAAAGAAAAGAAGATGCATTTGCCTTCCAAATTTGTGAGTTAAGGTTTTCTTTTACTCTTAATCAGAGAACTAAAAATCAGAGCAAACAAAATTATTTTTAATGTGCTCATGTAATTGACAAAATCCAGTATGTGGTAGTCAATCTTAGTAAGGATGAAGTGAACCAGGGCTTGAGTTTGAAATGGTGAGTTTTCAGTGAGCCAGAAAAGCCTAAAAAAGGTTACTACTTTCTTCTTTTTCTTTTTTCTTTTTGCTTATGTGGTGCTGAGGAATCGATCCCAGGGCTTCAGGCATGCAAGGCAAGCACTCTACCACTGAGACACCTTCCCAGCATTGAGTTTGCTACTTTCTTTCTGGTGATCCCACCTTAGAAATATGATTAAGGGAAATAAATGTGTACACAGAATAATATATGAAGGGTTTAATTGTAAAATTTAACTTAAAACAAAAATGGGAAATAACAATTTCCAACCACAAATGAATTCAATGAGTAGTATTATACCCATATAATTAACCATGCAGATTTTAATGACAATGGAAAAAGCCCACAATATAATTTTTACTGAAATGTAACTATGTAAATAAATTTTGCCATATGGTCTAGACTTATTTTTAAAAACATTTATGAGAAATATATGAAATATTAACATTACAATAGTTAGTATGCTACACTTCATTTTTTTTCAATTTTCTATAGGAAATATGTAAACCTTCAGATTGGAGATTAGAATATTTCTTATAAATAGGTTTCTAGATTGATCACATTAACATCTTTCATAGACTAGGTGATGATTTGTGACACTTGGCTCTACTCTTTTACCATGTTGTGGGTGGCTTGTGCATTAGTGGTGATTCCTTTCCTGTTTGCAGTCACCTGGGGATGCGGGCTGCGGTCATCTGCTTGTGGAACCCGAGGTTTCCTCTGACGTGCACTCCTGCAGGCCCCGGCCGCTGCTGCCTTCACAGGCCCACTTGCCCTTCCATACACAGGTACATGGAAGCTATTGTACTGGATGGAGAGCCTGTTAGAATTTTATACGAAGTCAGAGCAATTGTTAATGACCAAGTACAGTATTAAGGAAAGCCTTTTTCGAAAAATATTAAATCTAGGGTTGAAGTCAATACTTTTCCAAATAGCAATGAAATAGCCTATCCCCCCCCCTTCCGTACCATCCCCCTCCCCAGGTTCTTTTCCAGATAGGCTATTGAGTGGATAGAGAGCCAATTAGCCAATAATAGGAACAAAAATTCCATTTGCTCTTCTCCATGACAATCTAGATGCAAAGAAACTCAGAGATGATGGCAGAAAGTCTCCCAGGTCGCTTTGTCCAGGTCATATTCTAGTGATTCTAAATACCGATGTGTGTTTATCATGCCGTAGCTGAAAGAACACAGACCAGTTGAAGGTCAGGTGTATTTGACTTTACACAATTCCATTTGGTTTCATTCCTTTATTCAAAAACTATTTTTAAAGTATCTCACCATCTTAGTTACTGCTTTAAAGAAGAAAACAAAAAAGCAAAAAACTCTCCACTGGCAGAGTTCATATCTAACAACCAAATAACTATTTTGACACACTGTGATAGTTTCTACAAGACACAATAAGAACACTGGGTACACTCATTTCTATCATTAATGTGGGTTTTGGGGGGCAGAAAGGTTTCTTTGTAATACATTTTCTGAGGGATGTACTCCATTTCTACCTCACTTGGGCTACTGTAACAAAATGCCATAAACTGGGTGGCTTAAATAATAGATTTGTCTGTTTTGGTTTTCCTTTCCCCTCACTCATTTCTCATTCATCACTCTCAGTGTCTCTCGAGCGTTCTTCTTCTTTCCCCAGCTTTGTAACAGGCATTTCCACGGGGGTCAGAGCTTGATCAGACTCTTTTCTGTTCACGTTCTGTCTTCAGCCATCACGCGATTCCATAGGCGCCAACTCCCCACATCTCCATGTCCAGTACATACGTTGTCCCCAAATTCCAGATGCTAATAACCAACTACCTTTTCAGCATCTACACGTAGATATCCCAATATTCACATTTCCCAAACGGAACTTACCTTCCTTCTCATACCTACTCTACCTTTAGCCTCTTCTTTCTCAGATGGTGGCAACTTTATCTATTCAGTCTACAACCACAACGACCATAGTGTTTAGTACCAGTATACGAATGGAAATATTGATCTCAGAATAAAATATAAATTTCATTAATGAAACTAAGAGCATAAGGGAACTTAAGATGTAGCAAAGTAGAAATTTTAATTAGCTAGACAAAAGGTACAATTGACTACTGATATGAAAGAAAGTGAAAACTGGGTGTGGTGGCTCACGCCTGTAATCCTAGCTACTGGAAGCTGAGATCTGAGGATCACTGTTCAAGGATCCAGCCCGGGCAAGAAAGGCTGTGAGACTCTTATCTCCAATAAACCATTCACAAAACCAGAAGTAGTGCTGTGGCTCAAGTGGTAGAGTGCTAGCCTTGAGCTGAAGAGCTGAGGGATGGTGCCAAGGTCCAGAGTTCAAAAGAAGAAAGAAAGAAAGAGAGAGAGAGAGAGAGAGAGAGAGAGAGAGAGAGAAAGAAAGAAAGGAAGGAAGGAAGGAAGGGAGGGAAGCTGGAATAAATTTTAAACAGAGCAGACATTTAAAGTTTAAAATTTGTGAATAGAAACATTAAAAAATTCAGGAAAGTATTGTATAGCTTTCTTTTAACTCTTGCTCCTTTTACCTAAATCTACTCAGAACCTTCATAAGTTTCTTCAGACAAAAGTCTAAGTCCTAAGTCATTAGTTTCTGTCTCGCTTCCTTACCTCTCATCTGTCCACTCTCTCCCCACCCCTCTGTACTGCAGATTAAACTCACGGACTTTGGCTTGCTAGCTAAGGGCTTTACCACCTGAGCCATGCTCCTAGTCCTTCTTCCAACCTATCTTCAGAATTCTTTAATCCTATTTTAAAAGTATTGTGATTTTATGGTAGGCATTTACTTTATATAGAATCATTTCTTATTATCCACAGCAGTTGTTTCCTCTTAATCTAGAACACTGAATCAGAAACTACCAAATTACTAAAAACCACACCTCCTAGAAGAGATAGCATTAGTTTTGGAGGCCTCTGAATTCACTACATTTCCATCCACCAGTCACGATATTCGTGCTTGATATGCACTTTGGATTGTTGTTTAAATATACTTTATTTCAAGTGTGCTATTGAGTCTTTGCCCTTGAATTCACAGATCTATATCACCTGTTTGAATAAAATGAATCTAGCACCATGATTGAATAAGGTGAATGCTTTCTTGTGCTGAGAAGCACTTGTTTTGTGAAACAGTGAAACCATCTAGAAAAAGGAAAAGAGTAAGCAATTCAAGGCCCCAAATGGACTGGATGAGGCACACTCATTTACAGAAGAGTGAGAGCAAGCATGTGGAACACAGTCACGCCAGTCAACCTCAGCTGCAGATGGACATGTTGGCAGCTCAAAATGTTTGCCTCCATGCACATCTGTAAATACTGATTTGCAGTTACAAATAAAATCTTTCAAGTATGCAAATTGCCAATATTGAATCTGTGAACAGTGAGGATTGACATAGGAGAATTTGAAGGATGAACATACTTTTGTAAATGTCTTCCCCAGAGCTATTTGGCAGGTTTTGCTTTTTGTTCAGGTCTTGCTTTCTGCACTTAATGAAATATTATTTTCTTTATATGAGATTTCTAATTAAATTTTTCCCTGCTTCTTTTTAAAACAAATTTTACATTTATTATAGATGATTTTTTAAATAAAAATGTTAGCTGGTTATTGCAAGGAGACTGAAAAGCTATAAATCTGTGCATATTTGTTTTATGATAACTGTCACTCAAAGCCTATTAATTCTAGTAGTTTCTGCTGGAGTTATTTGGTATTTCATGAGGCTTCACAATTATATTAGCTGCAAATGGAAGTAATTTTGTCTGTTGTTTTTAAAACATTTTAATTTTATCTTCTGTCATATTTGTAATAACTTTTCCAAATATTTAATAAAGGTGATGATTTTTGGCACCTAGCCTTCAATTATGTTCTTGTAATTGAAAACATTATTCTTCTCAGTGTGAACTATATATAAATTAAATCCAAATCAAAAGGGAGGAAGCTTTTTAACTATGCAGATTATTTACTAAATCACCGAATACATTCAATATGACCACTTGACAATAACCATTCACGTCTTAGAAGATGGTCAATTTGAATATGCCAATTTATTAATCTATGTCAATAGATATCAAAGATGAGATTTTTTCCCCTGTCATCACATTGTGAAATAGTAGAAGTCCGTGTTCATTTTTCCCTAAATTAGCCACTAATCAGAATCTCTGAACCCATTGAGATACAGGCTAACGTGAAAATTAATTTGTAAGATTATCTTGGGGAAATAATCATGTTAAGTTGGAATAGACAGAATATAACACATGGAAATTGAAATACTCTTCCGTATTTCATGGCTCTCGCAATTCCCTCCTTTTTGTCTTTTCTCCACAACTACTCTGAGAGTGGGAATGGCAAGCTACCCTGGGAAACCACTGCGCCACTGGAAAGGTGAAGTGACTTCCTCAAAGTCACACATTCGGTCAGGCTCACAGGAACTGGATGATCTTGTTCGAACGCTAGGTTCTTTTATTCCTGTCTTTCATGCTTTATTCCAAATGAGCTTGTGATCTGACATCATCCATCCATCCATCCAACACACATTCAATGAACATTTGCTGCATTCAGACACTGGTATAGATTCTGGCAATACAATTGGAAACAAAGAAGTCACATTACAGTTTAGGATGCCAGAGAAAACCTACAAGATGCTTTTTCTGAACCCTATGAATTTACTAAAAGTCTCCCCAGTTTGAATCTGTGCCCTTGGATCTGAGGTGTTCTCTGCTGTGGTCCCTTTGCTCTATTTTGGGTTTCAGGAAAGCAAAGACATTCTGTGATGAGCGTCTTAAGTGGAAGAAACAGTCACTCTAGTTCTCTTCCAAGGACAAAGACTGAGAGAATGATCAAACCAAGCCATACCCATGACTTGGGACATTCTTAAATATGTATACCTCTTTCACTCCCTTCCCTTAATTTTCCTTATTTAACCTGAAGCCAATATCTGTTCCCCAGGGGTTGGATAAAGGTGTATGAAAGGAAGTACTGTCTTCTCATGTCTCTCTACTGTGTAATAAATCTCCTTTCTCTGCCCTTCACCATGTCGCTTTATTTGTCATAGGGGTGAGTGGTCAGATTGAACTTGGGACTCCTGGACTTTGTTTTTGTTTTAAATATATATACATACATACACATATGTATACATACATACATACGTATACACACACACACACACACACACACACACACACACATATATAGTACTGGGCATCAAGCCCAGGACACTGTACTTTCTAGGCAAGTGCTTTGCCCCTGAGCTACATCCCAGGCCCATTTCTGGACTTTGGGCCTGGAGTCTAAAAAATCCAGTTTTAAGGACACAAAAATAAATAAGTAATATATAATAAACCATCAGATGGTAAAGAAGTGCTTTAATGGAAAATAAATCCAGAGTAAATGACTGGGAGTAGCAGAGCTGGGGGAGGTGGAGAGGGCAAGTTTTCATAAAGAAACAGATTAAGACATCTGAGGAAAACCCTTCAGTGAGGCTTTAGGAGGTGAAGAATCAACCAGGCAGGGAAGGGCCCTAGTGGTACAGTATACCTAGCATGTCTGAGGATCGGTGAGGAGAGGTAGGTGTGTGGCCAGTGAGGGACAATTCAGGGCAGAGGCATAGACCAATCAAAGCTGGTGGACAATGGGAGTTTTTAGGACCAGATGAAAGGCTGTTGGGAAGACTTTGGCTTTCTTTGTCATGGGGGAAGCCATCAGAAGGTTTGTATAGAACAATGAACACTTATCTGACCAAATTTAGAGAAGGACTACTCTGTACATGGCACTAGAAACAGATTTGGTGATCCCAGTGAGTTTATGTTAATAAATTAAAAATATACAGGAAGATGCGTGTCCAGAAATTTTGACTGCAGAATAATAAGAAAAGTTTAGAAATAACCAAGATATTCACTATTGAGTTTGCTTATCGATTATGACTTTCTCTTTCAAGGATGAGAGTCAGGTTACTGAAAATGATGATTTAGAAGCAAATGACATGGAAATAGTCTCTGTGTAGTACAGAAAAGAAGATGCATAAACAAAGATGCCAATCGTATACTTCTGCTTTGGTAATGGTACACTGTGAATTGCATTCGTCTGTTATCTGTGCATAATGGGATACTGAATGTCTTTTTTATTTTCATTTTTCTTTGAAAAACAAAGTATTGGCTTTAGATTTTCAAAAGCAAACCAGAAAAAAACTAGGAATTGAGAACAAAGTTAAAAAATAACCCAACAATGTTTTATGCCTTTCTGATACCTTCATTTGTATAACTCTAAATAATTGATCAGTAACTTAGTTACTACTTAGTTAAAACTAGAGGACATTTTTAAAGGCAAAGGCTACCTCAACCATCCCTCACTGCTATCACTGGTTTCTTTAAGACCTTACACATTAGAAAAGCTGCTGCTCTTTATCCAAAAGATTATGTCATGTTGTAAAACAGCACATTTGCCCTTCAATGGACAAACATAATAATATGTACATGATGTTCCATAATAAATATTATGTTCATATATGTGTATATATATATATATGAACTTTACCCATCCATCATGTAGAAAGATATTATGTTACTTGCAGGGAAATAGATGAATCTGGACAAAATTATGTTAAGTAAAGTAAGTTAGGCTCTGCGAGACAAAGGACACGTTTTCTCTCATATATGGAAGTCAGATTTAACATAAATATATATGTGAACATATAAAGAGTCATGTGCATATTTACACACATAGAATAACTAAAATATGGTATACCTGGTGGGACGATTCTAATGGTGTAACTCCATTAAAGAAGTAACTTACAGGGCTGGAATGTGGCTGAGTGGTAGAGTGCTTGCCTAGTATGCATGAAGCCCTGGGTTTGATAACTCAGTACCACAGACACAGAAAAGCTGGAAGTGGCACTGTGGCTCAAGTGGTAGAGTGCTAGCCTGGTGCAAAAAAGAAGCTCAAGGACAGTGCCCAGTCCTTGAGTTCAAGCCCCAGGACTGGCAAAAAAAAAAGAAGTAACTTACAAAGTTTAACAAAATGAAGAGCAGGAAGTTGGAACTCGTGTGGTTAAGGGGGCGGGGGACAGGAAGGGTTGGAAAATACAGACATAATAGTCAATGCATATATGTGAAAATAGAACTAGGAAAATTGAGAAGATGGGTAGGGTTGTTGGGAGAGTTGTAGGATAATGGTGGAAGGGGTGACCTTAATCAGGATGCATTGTATTCCAGACGGACATGCTGACTTGAAACTGCTTTGTACAACTCAAGAAAATACATGAGCTAAAATATAATGCAAAGGTAGGTATGTACATTTAGGTGCACTTAGTAAATCTAGGTTTAGATATGAGCAAGATAGGAAGATTCTAATAAATATTATGATGTTCGTTTAATAACAAAAAAAGAAAAAGAGAATTTGTCACCCTGCTCTGCAGTGGCCATGGAACCCAGCATTGCTTTTCTGGGCTGCTACTCTGTGGGGCTGATGCTCAGATACTCACCTGGCTTGGGCACGGTTGGCCATGTCCTTTGATGTCACTTGGTCCAGCAGCCATTGTCTTCCTGTGGTTTCTTTTCTCCACCAGTTCCCCTGAAGCAGATTGTTTCTGAGATTCTTGAGGAGGAGTTTGGTATTCTCCTTTGTGGATATCTGCTGGAATGGCTAATATTCAAAAGGGGGTTGGTCATCTACATGTGGTCTTCTCCCCTTGCTTTTTATACCTTTGGGAAAATATTCTCTGCTCTGAAAATTTCTTCTCTTTCTGTCTGTATAACCTACACATGGCTTAAGTCTCTGGATTGTGTGCCTCAGAGTCTGAATAACTCCTTTTCCCTAGGATAACCCAATACTTGGAAATTCTCAAGCTAGAAGATGGAATAAAAGTAAGTATACAGTGGCTAACATCTGGGGTTGTGTATCCCTTTGAGCACTGGATGATGACTGGATTCATTTCCATAAAACTTGTAAATTTAATGCTGTATGCAAGGTCCTGGAATTTGAGGACCACCTACAGTCAACCTCACCTTGAGAATTAACCAAAACAAACAGGTGTCTGGTTCTTGAACTTTAACATGTAATAAAAAAGTGGCCACACGGTGGCACTGTAACACTGTCAACTTCCAGTCTTTAGTTCATAAGCCCCAGAGCCTGCTCAACAGGGTTAATGTAATTCAGCAAGATAAGGCTCACTGGAAATTATTTGGCAAGATCCAGGCACTTGCCCTTTGTGGACTATTCACATTAAGGAGGGAAGAAAGGAAAACTGTTCTTTGTAAAGGAAATCAATCATCCTTCAAGTATAAGAAACAACTGATTCATAGAAAATTAGTGATAACAAGACAATCTTGTTTTCTGGGAAAGCTTAGAATGCTTTTTGCTCCAAGTGTACTATTTTTATTTCTTTTCCTTCTTAGAAAGAACTAGGATCATTTGCTATGTATTCTTGTTAAAAATTACATTCAAAGATGAAAGACAGCTATAAAGTCTTTGTTCTTCTAATTTCTCTTTTACTTTTTTTCCTAAAGAAAAAAATACTTGAACTTTAGAAGACATGTTAGAAAAAAGAAAGTTTTTCCAAAAAATGCTCTAGACACTAGAAGCTATGTAACGTTTTTTTTAAAAAAAACAAATCAGAGTCTCTTTCTTTCCCATTCATACTAATTTTTAATGATTTCTTCCTCTGACTTCATGTATATTTTCTAATCCCTTACTATGATCTCAATGGCCAGACAGGACTTTATTTAGCTATTTCTTGTCCTCAAAAGCTTTTATTAAACTCTCCGATGTAAAGAAAGTATGTTTGTATTGAGAGACATTCTTAGTCTTGATAAAGCATGACAGAAACAGATTTGGAAGGTTTGTTTTCACTAGAATATATCTTATAGGGACTTAGCTAAATAAATGCTTTAATATTAGATTTACCTGAACATGATGTTCAATGACAAGATGTGACTTCTGGTGGGATTTGCTGTGAAGACCAGATAAGAAACACACGTGGCAGATGTCAAAGTGGAGGCACTTCCGGCAGCAGTATCTGCCAGGTGAGACGGAAGCACGGCACATGTTGTTATGAGTAAGTGAGCAAAGAAACTACATTCATGCAGAGGGTGGACATTTCATACATGCAGAAAATGTCTGACCTAGCAAGGGAGCAGAAGATTTCCTTCAATGTTGATAGGGACAGTAAAGGAATGATTCTGATGTGTTTGCTGAATCTAAGAAATTGTCTTGTGAAAGTGATTTTATAAGGCATATGTCAATAGCGTTTTATCCAACAAAAATGGTAGATCGTTTTAGTTTATGCCTTTCAGCTCTGACCCAAATACCAAATATTTTCTATATTCAAGGTACAGCGTGCCACTATCCTCAGAAGAGATCTTTAAATCTGTGGCCATAGTTAATGTAGTCGCACGCTGCGCTCAGCTATTTAGCTGGGGAGTTTTCAACAAAACATAATGTGGCGTCTGTCAGTACAATGATAGTGAGCCCGTATTGGTGTGTGGAGAATGTAAGTGTGGTGAAATGACTTCCAAGTGGTTCTCAGCCATTGCTAACTCTCTAACATGGCAGACTACTAGTAGGTTGTGTTGAGCGGCTGCCCTAACAGTTACATTTTGAGGCAGTTTTTACACTCTGTGTATGTGGGTCGATGCAGTGAATCCTGTGGAAATTCTTCAGGTATGATTAGCATATTCGTGTCTCTCTATTTTACAGAAGAGGAAATGGAATCCAAGGGAAATCAAATGACTTGCACAAAGTCATATAACTAACTGCTCAGGAAGAGGTAGCAAATTTCAGCCTTGGGATACCATCCAAACTGAAACCCTGCCCTCCTAGCCTTGTCCAGCTTCTATACACGATGATGGCCCAGAGCTTCAGCCTTCCTGTGTCCACCTGTTAGGAGCAATGACCTAGAGCCTCTAGTTTCCTGCTCTCCTCCCTAAATCCATAGTAATAATAATCTATAAAAATGATCTATAAAAAAACTTTAAAAAATCTATAGTAATAATAATCCTAAAGTTTCTTATGGTTTAATTTAAGGAGGACCTAGATCACCCTCTGTGTGTGTGTGTGTGTGGTGCTTCAGTACTAAGGTGTGAACTCAGGGCCTTGAGTTCTTACTGCATTTCCTTGCTCGTGGCTTCCTGTCTACTACTGGAACCTTGCTGTCACTTTGCTGGTTAATTGGAGATGGAGTCTTACAGAATTTTCTGGCTGAACTGTCTTTGAGTTACAATCCTCTAGGCTTTAACCTTCTGAGTAGCTGGCTTTAAGATGACCATCAGCCTTAAAGCTGTGGGAAGATCATGATCACTTGCCTCCAAAACTAGCCTTCAAATTTTCCCTTCCTCTTGGCAGAGATCCTGGCCTTGTATTGTTCCCACTGAGTTGATCATTCTTCTGGGTTCTATTCTTAGTTCTGAGTTGTCTACACAAGGGGGCAGCATAGCATTATGATTGGAGAGCAGGGACTCCAACTCACCAGCCTCCGCTACTCCCTAACCCTGTCAATTTTGAACTTTTCTGAAAATTGAGGATAGCAAATCTACCTTTTATGAGGTATATGACCTGTTCTAAATGAAATAATCCATGTGAACCGTTCAGCCTAACATTTGCTTAATGGTTGGTATTGCGGGTATTCAAAAAGGTTTTCTTGGGATAAAAGATAATTTTCCCTCTTAGAGAAATTAAACGGATTACTGATCAGAGTATGTCATTGAAAGACTGCAATATTCCATCCATTCTAGGAGGTAAAATAAATTTATTTTTAATGAGGGTACCATAGAGAGGAAATGATTGAGCTTAGGAAGTCAGTTGAATTCCTGATGTGTGAGGATCTCAAATAGAATCTAGAGAGAGTCCACCCCCCCTTGAAGCCCATGTAGCCAGTGACACCTGGGAGGCCCCCATGATGCCCGTACCTCAGCCCTGTGATGGGGAAGGCCCCGCAGACCCTGCACCGGGCAGCGTGAGTGGTCTGCTCAGTGGCCGACAGCCGGTGGCAGGTGGGAAGCCACAGCAGGATAAGAGGCTCAGATTGCACCCAGGACAGGAATTTCTCCTCCTTGATCCCTGGGCTGAGCACCTGGAAAAAAACAATAGCACGTAGCACGTATTTCTAGGCATGGTTTGTATTTTTGTCTTCTGGATCTATTTCTCTAAAGAGAAGAACTTTAAGACAAGTGGGAGGCAAAGTTGTCTCCTAACATGTTGTCTGGTAGTTTACTTTAAATCAGTCAGAAAGCTCTGCCCCATCTCCCCGGGACATTTTCAAGGCACTCACCCCTCTGAAACAGCTGTGGATGGCGCTCTCCACCGAACACGGAGTGTGACGCTCGCCCACCGCAGTTGGGATCTGCAAGAGGCAACCTCAGGTCAGTCAGTAGAAAACAGAGAGCGAAGCGGCCCCCTGGATCAGCAGAGGTGCGCGACGATGCTCACATGTCTAGAGGCACAAGTATAGCGTATCTCAGACTACATGAACTGTTTCAGTCAAACAAAACAATGTCTAGAGCCAGGTGCCAGTGGCTCACATCTGAATTCCTAACTACTCAGGAGACTGAGATCTGAGGACCCCGGTTCAAACCCAACCAGGACAGGAATGTCCGTGAGACTCTTACCTCTGATAAACTACCCAGAAAAAGGCGAAAGTAGCTCTGTGACGCAAGTGGTTAGAGCACTAGCCTTGAGTACAAAGAAGCTCAGGGATGATGCGAAGACCTTGAGTTCAGGCCCCAGGACTGGCAAAAAAAAAAAGTAAAGAAAAGAAAAAGAAAGCCTAGGTTGTGTGGAGTGCCTGAGTTGAAAAGAATGCATAAGCAAGAGGGAGAAGAGGAGGGAAGAAGACAGCTGGCAATTTGGATGGCAAAGGGGCAGCTAGCTTGTCTTGTGTCACACTTTATGAGCAGAGTCCAGTTAGCAGCCGACAATGGAAATACATTAAAATTCATAGTGCCTCTCTTTCTTTTTCTTTTTATTTATTTATTTATTAGCAACACTGGGAATTGAACTCAGGGCTTTGTGCTTGCTAGGCGAGCACTTCATCACTTGAACCATACCCTTTCCTCAGCTCTTTTTGTTTTAGTTGATTTTTTTCAGATAGGCTCTTCCTTTAGCCTGGAGCTGATCTCAGATCATAATCCTAGATTCCCTCCTACACAGGAATACAGGCATGAGCCACCCACCATTGCATGGTCCTAATTTCTAATACTTTTAAAGACCTTTCCAAACATCTTAAATATTTCATTTTAACAAAGGCCAGTTAGGATAGCTTTTTTTAACGTTGCTAGGACAAAATACTTCAAAAGGAGAAATATTTACTGTGACTCAGGGTTTCAGTCTGTGGTTGGTTCCTGCTTCCTGACTGTTTTGAGGCTATAAAGAAGTCAAATGCTATGGAGGAAGAGAATGGTAAAGCTGAGCTACTTACCTTGTAGTGGCCAGAAAGCAGAGAGAGGAAGGAGATCCTGAGATTGTGCCTAATGGTCCAAATAGACCTCTATGTCTAAAGTTTTCCACCAGTTCCCAATAGCCCATTTTAAAATGATGGCATCTAGAAGTGGATTAATCCACTTGGATTAATCATGATCCAACTGCATCTGAATAATTGGACCCACCAACTGGAGTTCACACTTTTGGCACATGTGCCTTTTGAGAACCACTTTATAACCAAACCGGTCTTTGGGGCTGGAAATGGAGTCACTCTGTTAGAGAGACTGGCATTCCTCTGTTTATTACAGCACTACTTACAGTGGTCAAGATATTGAAACAATCTGGGTGTCCACTGAAACTAATGAACAAAGAAAATGGGAGAGAATATTGTCAAGCCTTTAAGACAGGAAATGCTGTCATTTGTTGTGACATGGATGCACCTGGAAAACAATATGCTTAAAAAAAATCAGCCAGACACAGAAATACTGTGTGATCTCACTTAACTGAACATTTAAAAATAGAGTAGAATAGCTTCCAGGAGTGGGGTGAGTAGGCTGGGGTGTGAGGAGATGTTGATCAAAGAGTATAAACCTTCAGTTATAAGGTGAATATGTTCTGGGGAGTCTAATACACAGTATGGTGAACATAGCTAACACTGTATTGTTTACTTGAAATTTAATATGAGATTTCAAGTTCTACCCCTCCATATACGGAGAGTGAATAGGAATGTGGCAATTTGCCAGTGCTAATCATTACACAAATGTATATCTATGTTGAATTGATCAAATTTCTATTTGTCCTTCCCTTCCTTGCTTCTTTGCTTCTTTCCTTCCTTCTTTCCCTTTCCACACTCCTCATTTCTTTTTTCCTTCTTCTCATCTGCTTTTGTTCTCTCTCTCCCTTTCTCTCTCTACTCTTCTTTCCCTCCCTCCCTCCCCCTCCCTCTCTCCCTCTCTCCGTCCCTCCGTCCCTCCTTCCCTTCTTCCTTCCTTCCTTCCTTCCTTCCTTTGTGTTTTGTCCTTCTCTCTCTCACTCTTTCTTTCCTTTCTTTCTTTCTCTCACTCTTTCCTTTCTTTCTTTCTTTCATCCATTCTTTCTTTCTCTCTCTTTCTTTTTCCTTCCTTCTCTCTCTCCCTTTCTCTCTCTCTTCCTTTCTCCCTTCCTCCCTTCCTCCCTTCCTTCCTTCCTCCCTCCCTCCTTCCCTCTCTCTCTGTCTTTCTTTCTTTCTTTCTTTCTCTCTTTCTTTCTGACAAGGTCTTGCCATACTGTTGAGACTGGCATCTATACATATATGCCACCATACCTAGGTTACATCTTGAATTTGTGTAACTTTTGTCAATTAAATATTTTTTTAAATGGAATGACTAAAGGATGATAGAGATTTGGCACTTCTCAAAGTCAAAAATCAACTTAGCTGCACATTGAGGTCTCACTCCAGAAAACTTTACTTTTTGTTGACCTTTTTCTATAAAGCTTTGTAACCACAGAGTGTGTTTGGTGATTCCTATCTTCTTTCTGTTCAGTCACCATGCAGAGTTTAATTAAAGGACCGAGCAACTCTTGTGACTTTCAACATGACATGAACATGGCTCTGACATTACTTCTATGCTCAGATATGTATCTGTCAACTCCATTTCTTCCATTTAGTCTGAGTCTCCGTGTCATGTCTGATGTCTTCTACAGCACAGGCTGTTAGCAGGCATTGCCTGCAAGCTCAAAAGTCATCTCAAAGAACTCCCTGCTGAGACTGTCAACTCGAATAAACATTCTTCTAATCAGGAAAGTGGCACTTAGAACCTTATTGCTGATAATTAGCCAGGCTGAAGTCAACAAACATTTGTGTAAGAGTGATAAGATGGCTTGCATTTTAAATTGATAATAACCCCGACACCAGCAGAATGTAAGTAACCACTCCTTGTGTTATTTGGTGCAGATAGATAGATAGATAGATAGATAGATAGATAGATAGATAGATAGATAGATGTCACCTGTTACTCATCTTTTGGCTTGTGAGTTCTGATGAACTACACTGTCAGACTATGTTGCTGATAGGAATTTCATTTTATTTGTAAGATAAGGGAGGTGGATAACGTAGAACCAACTTGCTACCTCTATGATTCTAGTGAATAGAAAACATATTTCTGTAGAATCTTATTTTATTTTGATTTTTCAATGATATTTTTATGATCTTTAAGGGTCTACAATTCAATGTGTCTGTTCATTGTAGATTGTGCCTTTAAGCAAATGCATTAAGATTTTTGTGGATTAATTGCCCATTTGACTAATTTCTTGCAGGTGTTCCATGGAAGCCTTCAACGGGGCTGGATGACACGCTGGCACTGGCAGAATGGCACTTGAAATGATAATTAGGATTCTTAAGGGAGGAGTGGAATCACACAGTAGGGGCTGGAATTTTCTGTGGGAATCCATCTTTGAGTCCATAATGGCAGTCAAGTGGATGATAATTTGCTATGCAAATCTCTACTGTTCCAATAGCTTTCTCAAAATCATGCTAATAACTGGGCACGGAGGGTAGGTGCGTGGAGATTGCTACAGAAGCTGCCATTTCAGCAGCTCACTGACCTTAGTTGGGAACAAGGGCAGGTTTTTAAGACCTATGGGACTGAGTTAGCCTGGAAATAGTAGCAGTAGTCAAGAGGGAACCACAAAAAACTCTAAAGAGAAGAAAAATGCTCTGTAGCCTATCTCTTTTCATCACCTTGTCCACTTAATATGCTAGTGTTTCTAGCCTGATTGCATAGATGGGTGAATAAATTGTGCTTTGCTCCCTGGCTCTCCACCTGCTTGGGTTTTGAGATATGAGGTTGCTGAGTAAGATCATGTGCTGGGGAGGAGGGAGGAGTTGGGGAGGAAGTGGGGAGGGAAGTGATGGTGGGGAAAATCAAAGGAGGAGGTAACTATGCGCGATAGGAAATGTACTCATTACCCTACACACGTGACTGTAACCCCTCCATACAGTATCTTTACAATTAAATAAAAGGCTGGATGAGAATGATGAAAGTGATGACAGCAATCAGGATGAGCTGTGCCCATAAACTGATTTGTCAAATAGTAACTCTTTGTACAACTTCTAAATGATATAAATATAATTGAAAAAAGAAGGAACAGATCATGGGCTATGTGGCTTTAAGACATGCCTCGGAAGCAATTCTACGAGAACACTTGTTAGTAACTCCCCTTGACATATTAGCCTTATAAAAATTTAAAATCACCCCTTTATTTAAGAAATATGAACATCTTGGAGAAAGGAGGAGAGAATAGAGGAAGATGGAGACCAAGGGCTGGTTCTCCAGTAATTTTTTTGCCCAGCAAAAACATCACACGGAACAACTCTCTTCTCAAAGAGGAGAAAAAGAAACAAATCAGGAGATTAAAGTATGTGCTTTGAATTAAGTTTCTTTGTGATTATGAAGAAAATGGAAGGCACAGTTAAGGTCTCCATTTGTTACTTGCTAATAATAAAAGACCTATTGAAGAAGGCAGGAAAACAGTTTCACATTGCTCATGTTATCCCTTCCACAACTTAAGGCTAAGCGAGGTATCATTTGCTTGGTAGGAAGAGGAAGTGTAATAATTTGCATTGGGCCCCAGGCTCACTATAGTAAAATCCAGTATCAAGAAGACACCTATAGCCCGGCACCGGTGGCTCACACTTGTAATCCTAGCTACTGAGGAGGCTGAGAGCTGAGGATCACGGTTCAAAGCCAGCCTGGGCAAAAAATCCATGAGACTCATCTCCAATTAACCACTAGAAAACTGGAAGTGGTGCTGTGGCTCAAGCGGTAGATAGAGTGCTTGCCTTGAGCTGAAGAGTGCAGGGACAGTGCACAGGCCCAGAGTTCAAGCCCCATGACCAACAAAAAAAAAAAAAAGAGAGAAGGCACCTCTGACTTCTGACTCCAGATTGGTAATTGTGCATTTAACTTAGAATTTGTACACAAGTTCACTGTTAAAGGACATTCCAAGAGAAAGGTTACAGTAACAAAAAGCTCACCAACACACAGTGATACACTTTGGAAAGGTCAGTGGCTTAGTGCAGAGGAGAGACAGTGATGTCAGGTGTAAGTTAGAGAAATCAGTTGGGATGCAACTGTAAAGATCAGGCAAATGAAAGAAATACAAATCAAAACAACATTAAGATTCCACCAACATTAAGATTCCACCTCACCCAGTTAGAATGGCCACTATCTAGAAAGCTAAAATAACAGATGCTGGTGGGGATGTGGCCAAAAAGGAACACAACTACACTGTTGGTGGGAATGTGAAGTGTTCAACCATTCTGGGAAGCATTATGGAGGTTCCTCAAAGACTAAACATAGGGCTTTCTTATGACCCAATAATTCTACTCCTGGGCATACTATAGGAATAGACCACAAAGAAGGCCACACTAAAGCTACCAGCACAACCATGTTAATTGCAGCATTGCTTACCATAACCAAGATATGGAATCAACCCAGATGCCCCTCAATGGATGAATGGATAAAGAAAATGTGGCATATATACACTATACTTCCATCAGAAAGAATGATATTATATCATTTGTAAAGAAATGGAAAGACTTGGGAAAATTATATTAAATGAAGTAAGTCAGACCAAAAGAAACATAGATTGGATGGTTTCTCTCATTTTTTTTGTAACTAGAATGTGCCTATAAATCTACAAGTAAGCACACTGGATGATAAAAGAAAAAAATTATACTTGGTCATGATAAATTATATAGGACTCTAAACACTAACAGTAGTGAGACAGTGAGACCACAGGAGGATAATCTCAAGAGAGGACCACAAAGGCTCAGTGACTATGTGCATTTGATCATATAAAATGATGTTTATCAAAATGAACTCCAAGAAACAGAAACAAGAGGTTTTTAAAGTTATTTTACTTTTTATTTTGTTTGTTTTTCTCCTTTGTCACTGTTTTTGGTTTCTATACCTTTGTCTTGTATGTAAGTTTATCAATTTTTGTGAGGGTAAGGAGGGTCATAGAAATGGTGGGACAAAGGGTGAACAAATGCAGCAGTGACACTCCCTAGACACTATGTTGAAAATGAACTGTATAACTTGTGGGAGAGGAGATTAGGGGGAAAAAACTGGAAGAAATGAGGGAAGAGATGACACTGTTCAAAAAGAAATGTACTCATTACCTGACTTATGTAACTGCAATCCCTCTGTACATCACCTTTACTATTACAATAAAAAATAAAATTAAAAGAACTTTACTGAGTAGCAAGGACTAGAAAGGGGATGGAGTTGGATGGAGTGTTATGTGAAAGTAGAACTGACACCATAAAAATAAGACACTTCAGTAGTACTGTGGCTAATACAGCAAACAAGAATTAGAATCCCTATCAGGATTTACCTGCTGTATATCCATTAGTAGGTTTCTCAAAGTCCTTCGAGTCATGCGTGCCCCGGAATCGTAGCCTCTCTTGTTATTTTGTGCATACAGTTGAAAAAGAGCTAGACACATAATGGGTAAAGAAACCTGTAAGTTAAGCTACATATGTACTTTGAATTAAATTTCTTTGTGATTATGAAGGAAATGGAAGGCACAGTTATGTCCTCCATTTGTTGCTTGCTGTTTTTTGAAAGTCTCCCAATTCCTATTATTGGATAACTAATGAGAATCTATTTATATTTCAACCTCTTGGTAATTTAAGATTTCTGTGCTGAAGGCTGGTAAATAGCAAGGTGAGTATCATTGCAGTCCTTAAAGAATAAAAACTAGTACTTGCTGGATAGTCCCTGCAATCATAAGTAGGCAAGATAGCCAAGTGACACACAATTCAAAAGCATGATTCAAAAAAAAATTGGAAATCCTCATAATCTTAAACATTTAAATAGAAATAAAACCCCAACCAGCCATGCTGAGCACGTGCCCAAAATCAAAGTGACTGTGAGAGAGGGGCATAGAAGTGGGTCGAGAAGATAATGCTTTGCTGGTAGGGGTGGGGTCATTGCCTCCAGCATGCAGAACTCTTCAAGTTACCTCTGTATTTGGTAAGAGGGTTGTCTCCGGAGAGGGCGATCAGGGCTGCCGCCGCTGGCAGAAGCTTCAGAAACCCAGATCCTGTGCTGCATGACCACAGATCCCAGGGAAAGAATAAGAAGGGCAAGGTTACGAAAAGATGTTGATCAAAACCATACCTATTCATGAACATTGCTTACATTGTCTGATCATGTCTAACTTTTCATGGCTTCTTTTCCTGTACCAGGAGAGAGGATTGAATCAAAATGTTTTGTTATTTTTCTCCTTTCTACTTCATTCATTCAACAAATAGTTCTCAGATTCCACTCTGTGGTAAGGTTGGTTAGATTTCCAGATGAGATATGAGTTTGCATAAGAAAAATAGTCATGTGGAATCCATGGGTGAGTTATATTAGTGATAAACATTTCCCTTTTTGTTCTCTTCCTGAATGAGTAGCAAGAATGTTTAAAACAAACAGATAAGCTTGATCATATACCGGACTGCAGGCAAACACTAGCTAGCACCATGCAGTCATTAACCAGTGGTAAACCAACTTTGCCCTTGGGGTCATAGGGAAGTACCCAACCCTCACCTGTCATACATTGCCATGAGAAGGCTCAGAGTGAGTTCTGGAGCTCTGGGATGCACCAGGCCTGGTTTTCCATCCTTCACTTTCTGAAACAATTCTTGAAGCTCCTGAAAAACTTGCTGTATAGAAAGGGAGCTCTCCCTGGCTTCCGGGAATCTTGGACGGAGTAAGACCTGCTGAATCAGGGAGCTGTCCATCAAATCCACTGCAGGAAGCAAATGAAGGCTTGGTCCTTATTTTCTGATGAGAATAAATGGCTTCAAATAAAGTGAGTGTCTCCCAGTATTTAAGCAAAGCTATATTTTTATGGCAGCTATTTTTCTCAAAGGGAATAAAATATGGTCAGTGTTTGGATACATTTACTTTGCATGTAATTTGAGTATTGCTATTCTGACAGCCAATTTGATTTTGGACAAGTTCATCTATTAACAAAGCATTGAAGTACTATTGCCAGTATAATAATTTTTAGTGTGTTCTTGTATAGAACAAAGAGAAAACAGGGCAAGGTGAGGAGCTAAAGAAATAAGCATTTTAAAGCAGCCAAAATATCATGGTGATTAGTTGAGAAAAAAACCTGTTTTATGTCACATTAAGTGAACTGAACCAATTTGTCTTTCAATGTTCAAACACAGCTTCTCTTGTCTGCTGTCTGGCTTCAGATGCAGTAGCCATAGCTAGGGAAGTCCAGGGCTCTTTGTATAAAGAAGTTGCTAAGTTAACAGACACTTGGGGGCCTACCCGTGGCTCAGCAATATCACATTTTTGATCTTGGCTCCATTAATATCATTACCTAGAGACAACAAAAACTTAATGCTTTTGTCTTTTTATATATGTATATCCACTACGTTCTCTCTAAAGTTTTGTTTTTGTTTTTCACAAAGCAATGAACAGAAAGAAGAATGAAACAGAGCTAACACTTATGTATGGTTCCCTGTGAACAGGGATGGCAGACAGAATTCACAATGACCCTCTGTATCATCTGAGAAGCGGGGATGTCCTGAGTCCTAAGGCCTGGGGATGATAAAACCCTGCACCTCCTTGCATTTCATAAATCACCCTTACAGATAAGGAATCTAGCAAGTAAAATAAAATTTCTTTCTTTCTTATATTGCTTTTAAGAGGTGAATTTAAAGAATGGAGCAACAGTTTTCAGGAATGTGGCTTAAATAAATCCCTGGGCAGGGGTGGTAGAGGATGTTAGCTCTTTGATCATTATTCCATCACAAACCCTATCACGTGGCCTGGCACTCTGAACACAGGGATGTTTCTGTCTTTTGCTGCGCATTCTGTGTTACTGCAAACCCGATAAGAGCACAGCTCATTCATCGCAGTGATAGGCTAGCTTCTCAGTGATAGGCTCCAGATCCTGTAACTTGGAGCTCAGGGAATGCTCTTTTTTTTTTTTTAATCCCTTGAAATTCATGGTTTTCCCCCCTCCCCTCAAATGTTTGCTTGGATATCTTTCCTAGGTAGACTTTTTTTAACCACTGTTTCTTATGTACTGTTAACATTTCCCTTGAGTATCACTTTCATTCATTGATTCTGATGCCAGGCATAGGAAAAAGCTCAAAAATGTGTATCTTCCATTTGTGTTGTTGCACATTTCCACATGTTAACTATGGAGACATTGGTGAACTTTTGCTCTGGTGTTCCTTAATGGAAGACACTCTCCAGGAAAGGGGCATGGTTGAGGAGACATTTTTAATAAGCACATGATGAGTTTTACTTATCCTTGAAATAATTAAGATAAAGTGGTGAGTTTTGTCTAGAGTAGTGATAAAACAAGACAAAACAAAACAAACAAAAAACACCTTTGCAAAGCCCAAGTCTCCTCATCAGAAGAGCCTGGTACAGAAGCACACTATGGAAGAGGGAAAAGTACAGAATTGTTCTTTTTGAAGACATGGTCTTTGCCCAATCCCTCCTCCACCCCCTCTAACTACATCCTTCCTTCCCATTTTCTAGCTCTGTTGAGCCTTACCTCACACCATACACTTTTTGAAGCATTCTATAAAGACTATTAGTCTATATAATTTATTGAGTAGAAGAAAAAATGCAAAAAGGATCACAAACCTTCAGTGGAAGTGTCATACAAATAACATTTTCTTTTAAGTCGGATATGAATGTGAGAATCATTTTACACGAAGTACAAAAACAAAACATAGGAGAAGAAGTTAATGACTTTGGAGAGGCTGAGTGTCTTGGTTTTCAAGATTAAACACAATGAATTTCATTTTGGAGAATTTTACAAGATAGACTTTTTTACATGTTGTATTTTTATTTAGCATTTGCTGTATCACTTTATTTTGCCTAGATATCAATATGAGGGGGAAAAAAAAACCTCATCTCACTCAATCAGATAGAAATCAAATGCAAAGTAGCAGTTTGTAGGAATTCTCCAGAAACTTTAAAGAGTTGTGGCCCATGGATTTTTCATTAGAACCTACATTTGTATGCTCAGTTATAGATAAGAGGTGCAACTCAAAAGTTTAAATTTTAAGCTGGGTGTTGGTGGCTCATGCCTGTAATCCTAGCTACTCAGGAGGCTGAGATCTGAGGATTGCAGCTCAAAGCCAACCCGGGGAAGGAAACTCTGTGAGCCTCTTAACCTCCAATTAACCACCAGAAAACTGGAAGTGGTGCTGTGGCTCAATTGGTAGAGCATTTGCCTTGAGCTGAAGAGCTGAGGGACAGCGCCCAGGCCCAGAGTTCAAGCCCCATAACTGACAAAAAAAAAGTTTAAATTTTATGTGATAGAAGAAAATTTCAATATCTGTTTTTAAATTACTAGTACAATGCCTGTTTTTTTTGTAATTATAGTTGGTGTCTATATTGATAACCTTAAAGGGAAATTTAAAAATGTGTTTAGATGCCACATAAGGAAAATACAAGATTGCTAAAGCTGTTATCCATGTGTTGTATTTTCTATTATACTATGGGCTCCCCTCCCTGCCATCTTGTCTGTTATCAGCGGGCAGATGCGCACAGGCCCAACCTTCCAGAGACCAGTGGATTCTTGCATGGGGCAAGTCCTGTCTTTCTCTACGATGTTTACATCACATATCATCCGGGTAAGACTATTTTATGTCTTTCCAGAGTGTTTGTACTTACATTGGCACAGAGTTTGCACTGATCTTAGTTTGAAGGCTGTCCTATAGACAGAATTTTCAATACTATTAAGAGCACCTGCAAAGAAAACACGAAACATCACCCATGAAGCACTGCCTCACCGTGTAAATCCCACATGCTGGAAAGAAATCTTAGTGCTCATAGAGCACTTCTTTATTTTTGCAAATGAGAAAGTCAAGATAGAGAGTATTATTTTCCACTTGGCAACAAATAATAATGGACTTACAGTATCTTAGGGCCAAGCGATGACCTGAGAAAGTATCTTCCAAACTCACCAAATACAGGAGTTTAGCAAAAAGTGGAGAGCATTCCTTCATTTATCTCCCCACTTTGTAGAGAAGAAGGCAATGGCATTGTGACGGAAATAGGATAAAAAATCTAGAGTATATACTCTTACATATATGTGCGCATTTATGCATCCATGAAAAAGATACAAAAGCTATCTACTCATGAATTTACCAAATACTTATTGAGCTCTACTATCTATTTCTGTTATTATTCTAAACTTTTGATATATAGTAAGCAATTAACTAAGCTGGTAATAATCCTTATCCTCATTGGATCTAATCATCTATGCCTGTAACCCTCATACTTTGAAGAGTGAGGCAGGAAGATACCAAGTTCAAAGCCAGCCTGAGCTACATGAGAACCTGTCTCATCAACAATGATAAGAACAACAAACCTCACCCTGGTGGGATTTAACTTCTAGTGGCATTGTCCACCAGATTATTAGCAGTAGACTTATCTTAGTGCTGAAATTATTAGTGTTTTCACTTATTTTCTTCTTACCTGTCACTATTACTCAAATTTGTTGACAAATAGGATAGATTGCTCTTATAATTGAGACAAAGTATTAGTATATCTTGTTTTGAGTTAACACCAATATGACTGTCACAATCGCTAGTATTTCTGAGCACTTCCCAGACATGGTGGGTGTATTTGCCCATTTCAGTGGGGAGGAGAGGAAAAAAAGTAGAGGAAAGAGATCTGGAGACATCCCTGTTTCAGTTGCTTCCTTTCTCCTTTTGAGGAAAATAGCTTCATTATTATCATGTTTTCTTCATCATGTATATATGGATTATAATACATCTCTTTCATAATATTTGTATGGTTTAAATAAGAAAATATAGGTAATATACTTACAAAACTGTTTCTCTTCTTCAAGGATCCACACTTAAATTTGTTTCATTGGTGCCTTAAATTTAATTATCAATTAGCTTAATAGAATGATTTCACAGTGAGGCTTTTGTTTTCTAAAAACCAAAATGACCAATTTTCATTCAGATGAAATTGTTTATCATGTAACTAGAATGACTTATATGGCTAAGTCCTTGAACTCTGACATCTTTTTTTTTTCTGCCAGTCCTGGGGCTTGAACTCAGGGCCTGGGCACTGTTCTTGAGCTTCTTTGTGCACAAGGATAACACTCTACCACTTGAGCCACAGTGCCACTTCTGGCTTTTTCTGTTTATGTGGTACTGGGGAATCTGAACTCAGGGCTTCATGCACGTTAGGCAAGCACTCTACCACTGAGCCACATTCCCAGCCCTCTGTCATCTTTTCATACTTGTGACACACTATAGTTCATATTGACCATATTTTAAGTGCTCAATAGTCATATGTAGCTGTGTGTGTATTGATGACTCGGCTTTAGAGAATATTGGAAATGGTGTTGTTCAGATTGCTGAAGAGTCTCCAATGTTTGATTTTGCATCTGGAGTCATAGTTGCTAGTTGGGCTAGGTTAGGGATTTAGAAGTTGTTGGCTTTGGGCAATTTCCTGCCCATCAACTAGATTGCTTCACTGGAGTATATCAAGTGAAGAGAAAACCACTAACAGCACTCTGAGAAACAGAATTGTTTAGGTAATTTAGTAGAAAGATTTGTAAGAGGAAGCATGGACAGGAAAGGCAAAGAAAGGAAAGGTGAAGGTCAAGTAAGAGGTGTTTCAGAAAGCGGGACAAGCTATAATTTTAAAAAAAGCTGAAAATAACAAGAAAAGCCAGACATGGAATAAAGAATCTTACCTTTTGAAAACCAATTAACTTGATTATTGAAATTCTTTATAACAGTGGGTTCAGGGAGCAGAAGGTGTAAGCATCAAGTTGCAAAAGATTGCATAAGAAAACCTATAAACAAGACCTGAGGTTCTGATGAAAGAGCCATACAGAAAGAAGACAGAATGAAGCTCTGTTTTCAAAGGGCAGAGGCAATTGCAGAGTACACATCAGCGAAAAGGAGCTAGGAGAGAGAAAGAGGTCATGGATTCGGGTCCATGTTCCCTCAGTCAGTCGGGATTCAGTCACTTTTACAATACACCAGGAAACTCCAGTAGTGCTAATATCAAGTTTCCCATATCCAATGAGAGGAGCCCAGGTCTGCCAAGCAACATCGCATCCATCATTGCAGGCACAGAATATGATGAAGGAACTTAGTTCGAGGACTCTTTGTTCTAGTTATCAAACAAGTAGACATTTTTTTTCTTGCTGGAGTGAACTTGAAATTTTGGATGGAGCAATGGTCATTATCTTGATAGGGTGTGAATAAAATCAACATGCATGGAGCACAGGAATGAACTTGGAGGTGGTGGAGAAACCACTTTCAACTAGCAATGTCTGAGGCTAGCCAAAGCTATGCTTTCCATAAATTATTCCATCTTATTTGTTTTATTCAATAGATTAAAAGCTATATAAACTTAGTATAACTCTTTTTTGTGTAGAGTTCAAATTTGAGGAGGTTCACACACACCCTACCACCTCTAGCACACTACCACTGAGTTATACTTTAGTCTTGTAAGGTATTATTGCATGTTATTTTAAAATATGTAAATTCTTCATTTTTTGGGTGACTAAGACATAGAATCTATCCACTTAGCAGTTTTAACGAATGTAGCATATTGTTATTAACTACAGTCACAATGTTTTACCATAATTTTCTTGATTGAGTTATTAATTCTAAAAGGTAAAGCCTCTTTGAGCTAAGTTTTTTTTTTCTCACAAGCAAGTGAAATAGTATTAAACAAGATAGTCCCTGGAGGAAAGACACCGGATGGGAAGATCATCACTAGTTTTCTGAGAGGAAGAATAAAAGATGTGACAATGGTGTGTCCAAGAGCTTCTGTTCTTTATGAAGTTGGGAACAAGTCCATCTATGTAGCATTAGAAGGAGATACTGGGGAAATAAAAGTTTAGAAAGAGTGAAGACTTGGGCTAGTTTAAGAGTGGTGATGGATAGAGGAAGCCATCTTAAATGTTAGAGACTGACTGCCAAGCAACATTGTATCTTCAGTATTTCCTGAGATAAGAGAGAAGGTTGACTTTACATAATGTTTTATTCTGGGGTGAAAGATTCACATGTCCACAAGCTCCGAGCCCAAGAATGACTTGTATTTACTATGCTGAGGGGAAGAAATCTCAAGGAAAATGAAACTGTTTTCAAATTTAATGTGAGCTGACCATAGGACTGAAGTCATTGGGGAAAGTTCTGTGTCTAGAAACACAGGCAGACTTCAGAGGTCAGGTCCAAAGCAGAACTGAATCAGACATTGCTCAGTGGATTTCATTAATCAAACAAATAGGCAAGTTAGTTTATGGTGACATTATTATTTTTTTCTTGTATGGACAACCATGGAGAAATTCAAAGGATGAAAAGGTAATGTTTCTGTGCTCATTCCTCTGTGTATTCCAAGGCCCAAGCTTTTAAAAAATTTCCTTGGGGAAGCCTACCAGCCTATATGGATTTAAGGAGGCGACCCTAAAGTCGGCTTCACTGAGTCCTGAATGAAAGAGAACCTAACGCTTTCATATATTGGTGAGCACAAAGCCAAGACAAACAGGGCCCAAAAAGTAAAAGGGTGGAGAAAGATTAATCAGCTGCCGCAGGAAGGAGAGTAACACCTCCTTTCCAAAGCAATGCCTTCTTTGAACAAAGGAAGCATGGGGATTTTATTGAGAGAGCCTATACATATTCATAAAAGAAATCCTGATATGGGAAGGCCTTATTGTTTTCTGTAATTTGTTCTAATTCGTTTGTTATTTAATGTCATGAAAATGCTGTTTTAAGAGAAGAGTTCAATGTTAGGGGATAGGAGAAGTCAGAGACATCTTTGTCTTCTGAAGAAGAGTGAATTAGGGAAAGGCATCGTAATGTTGAAATACTTTATGAAGGAGCAACATTTATCATTTGTTGTTCCTCTGGAAATTGTCCAAGTTTTGTGCCCCCTGTTCCCCTCAGATGCTCGAAGTGGCTACAGAGAATCAGCAAACCCAGTCGCTGTGCAGGCTTCCAGCTGCAGCTCCTGGTGGAGTGGCGGCCTTGTAGCAGTCTGACCATCTGGCCCATCACTCCTGTCAAGTGATGCTTTGCAGCGTCATCTGATAAAGTTATTCAGCGTAACGTGGCAAGCTGTGATTCAGAGTAATGTGGAATATGAATAAGTATTCCAGGTAATCTGCTGCTAGCTCCACTTCCTTAAGGCTTCATTAATTATTTCTTCTGATGATAGGAGAAAACTCAAAAAATGGAAGAATCTGCTGAATGAATGAGGCAACTGATGCTTTCAGATGCCTAAAGTTCTAGATGCTCAGAGACCTAATAACACAGGATACAAGTATTCTTGTGAATGGAAACACCCTGAGAAACATTTTGCTTCTACATGCCTTATTGTTTTGCTTAGCCAATGACACTAGGGTGAATGTTATTTTTCACAGGTACTAAGATGAGTGGCCATTATCTAGTTCGAAATTCAGAAATACATACTTTAGGCCAGTGCTTTTCAACATGTGGTCCCAGGAAAGTAGCATTGGCATTTATCAAACAGCTGTTAGCATTGAAAAATTTCAGACTCTACCATTAACCTGGGTAATCAGAAACTTAGCTGGTAGACACCAACATTTTAACAAACTCTCCAGGTGATTCAGATGTATACTAAATTTAAGAAACACTGCCCTAATGAGAGACAATTGAGCTGGAGCATCACAGCTTTGTGTTAAGCATATTGATATGAGGGCTCAAATTTGTGGAACCCAAAGATAAGCTAAGCAATCCATAATTTTGTTTTTAATAAATCACTTGGGATCATAGCATTTTATGACCAAGTTAACAACCTATTTCTGCTAGGGGAATAAGATTACAAGTAGATTCAGCAATAAAAGTGTCACCAACCAGTCCTGGAGTTCACTTAGCATTGAGAGCTATTAGAGCAATTAGTTCTCCCATAGATAATTATTGAATGTGCACACTGACAGCTGTGGGACCTTTGTCCCAACCAAGGGCCACACTGTACTGTGAACTTCCTCCTGACATCCAAACACTTTTAGTGATGTCATTTGAATAGAAAATCATGAAGACAAATAAAAATAAGACACAAAGTATGATTTGACTGGCAATTTGAACTGTAATTATATTGATATCAACTCTTCTGTTAAATTATCTTTTGGTGCTTTGGAGACAATTGACCAAATGTTCTTCAAGAAATTGTGAATTTCTGTACAGAACATAGAGAAGCCTATTTTAATCACTCAATAGATGGTTTTACTGCCCCCAAATTGCCAGATGCCTTCTGTTTTATGATTCAGAGGTCTGAAAATACATCCGTGTCTAATATTTTTTGTTTATAAACTATGTTGAGAAACTCAAAAATAATACTCACTTTGTTTACTGGGACCCATTTCACAAATTTCCTGGGATGGCAGATGGTAAAAGAGTCTTTGTAACTGGAAATGAACCAATATTTTATATAGATTTTGCAGGGGTGGGGGATGGGTAAGGGAAAATAGCAAGGCAGCTAAAGTAAATCATTGTACCTGTGGAACAATGAATCCAAAATGTGCAGGAGACTGAAATCACTTGACAGGATATAAAGAAAGAACACAAGGAGAGAGACTTTTCTTATCCTGGCCACAATTTTTAGAAAGTTGATATTATTAACAGGACTTTTGAGGTATGATCTTTCTGAAAGTAAATTGAATCCTCATTTTAAGTAAATTAACATTTTTCCTGAATTTTAAGGACAAAAATCAAACCTTTCACTTGCATAAATTTCTAACACAATGTTAAATAACGGTCAATATTAAATTCCTACAAATAGTATATATACACACATATATGTGAATCTGAATCTGCACAGAATTTAGTTCATGTTTTATTTGAAGAAGAGTAGTCAATTAATTCACATTAACTTTAATAATTTAATGTTGCAACTACAGTTTGCGCTATATTACTTTAACAAAAAGAATGAATTATGCTATGAGAATGTTTTATGCAGTTGTAAAAAATATAGTTGTTAACATGGACAAGTAGAAAATGTTTAAAAAGATTATGTTATAATTAAAGTTATTTAATGTTCCCACCTCTTGTTAATGAATTAGGGCACACATCATGTGAGCAGATAAATATTTTAAATAGAAATTAAAGCAAATACTGATTTCATAGGTTCATTTAAAAATGTGACAGAAACAATGGCTGCAAGACTTGCCAACAACTGGGAAATTTCCAGATACATTCTAGTAAGATCTGCTCAGAAAAGTTGCAGCAAGACAATCAAGTCAGCACTCTTTAATGAAGAATTGCTCCCTTGGGCTCTCCCGGAGGCCCCAAGTTAATGTGAAAGGGGTAGTTTCCCATTTAGTCACATAGCTGGCAATGTGCTTTGCCAGTTCCTTACCTTTCTTAGTTTCCCTGGAGAAGCATTTTGGTCAAACATCCTGTGTGAATGACTCAGCTGTTCTGGGAGAGGGATCAGCTGAATGATACCAGGTATTCAGCAGTGCTCTTTCCATGGGATGGTGATTTCTCGAGCTAAGCGCACAGCAATTGCATGCTAAGCAGTGAGGGGGTGCCATTTTTAAGGGCTCACTGAAGTGCATGCATTAGTAATAAAGGTCCTGAATAATTCAAAGTCATTTGCACATCTCTGTTTCAAAGGCTATTTCTGTATTCATTTCATGTGTAGGAGAGAAAGTTAAGACATCTTCTGGGTGCTATTGAGAGTGAGAGTTACCATAGAGATTAGGAAACAGTAAGAAGAACCCCGTCCCAGGGGACCATCACTTTACAACCCAACCCAGAAATGGAATCAAGCTCATTTTATTCTTTTATAAATAGAGAGGGATGGCACCAATTTTAAAAAGACACTAAATACAATGCAAGTCTTCAAAAGATCATGACTGTAGTGAATTCTCTTTGTGCCTATATTTTAAGCATAACCTAAAAATGTATTACTTCTAACAAAGTCCATATTAAAAACTAACCTGTTTTAAATCTACCAAGATATGTGAAAAAATGCTATTACATAAACTAAGTACATCAGAATTTACAATGAAGACAATTAGGCTACTGAGGAGATAGGAAATTAATTTTAACATGTCATTTAAAAAATGTTTGAAGCACCAAAGAAGAGTCCAGAACATGGTTTCTTCACAGGTGAATTCTACAAGACATTTAAATAAGAACTAGTGCTAATGCTCCTTAAACTTTTCTGCAAATTAGAAAGGTATAAAACACAACGAGCCATGTGCTGGTGGCTCACACCTGTAATCCTAGCTACTCAGGAGGCTGAGGTCTGAGGATCACAATTCAAAGCCCAGTCAGAAAAGTCCGTGAGGCTCTTATCTACAATAAACCACTAGGGCTGGGAAGGTGGCTCAGTGGTAGAGCGCTTGCCTTAAAATAAACCACTAGAAAACCGGAAGTTGTGCTGTGGCTCAAGTGGTAGAGTGCTAGCCTTGAGCTGAAGAGTGCAGGGATAGCTCTCAGGCCCAGAGTTCAAGCCCCACTACCGACCAAAACAAAACAACAAAACAAAAAACACAACCAAAATAATTCTATGAAGCTGGCATTACATCTATTAAGAAAAGAGAGAGAGAATACTTTGATGAACATAAGTGAAAAATAATAAAATACCAAGAGAATTCAGTAACTAATCAAGAAGATCACAGATCATAGTCAAGTTGGTTTCATTCCGGGTGCTCAAGCCTGTTTCAGTATACATAAATCAATAAACATAAGGTACCACATAAAAAGAATTAATAATAAGAATGATATGATCATCACAATTGATACAGAAAAGGCCTTTGACAAAATCCAGCATACTTTTATGCCAAAAGTGCTGAAGAAATTAGTAATAGAAAAAAAATGTACCTTAATATAATAAAGTCTATATAATAAATTAGGAAAATAAAACCATTTCCCCTAAAAGTAGACATGAAGCAAGGGTGTTCACTCTCCCCACTCCTGTTCAATTTAGCACTGGAATTTCTAGCTTCAACAATAAGAAAAGAAAAAGAAATAAAAGGCATCTAAATAGGGAAGGAAGAAGTCAAACTATCCTTAGCTGTAGGTGATATGATCATATATCTAAGACCTTAAAAAATTCCGTATCAAAACTCCTAGAGCTGATAGAGGCCTTCAGGAACATAATAGAATACAAAATCTATACACTACAATCTGTAGCTCTTCTGTACACGCATAATGAATATGAGAAGGAAAATAGGAAAATAACTTCATCTTTACCAAGGAGGTAACAAAAGCTATAAAACATTAGAAAAAATAGAAGATACTAGAAAATGTAAAGACATCCCATGTTCTTCAATTGATCAAATAGTATTGTAAAAAAAAAAGCAATCTGTAGATTCAACAAAAAAATTTCCAATGATAGCCTTCAGATAAAGAAAAATAATCCTGGGCTGGGAAGGTGGCTCAGTGGTAGAGCACTTGTCTTGCATGCATGAGGCCCTGGGTTCGATTCCTCAGCACCACATAAGCAAAAAGAAAAAAACCGGAAGTGGCGCTGTAGCTCAAGTGGTAGAGC